CACCCAGCAGTGAGTTTGGTCTGACAAGAGGAGATTATGTTTCCAAACTGTTTATTTATACCAAAATAGCATCACAAGACCGACGCGCTTGGAAATCTTTTTTAAGCTCGGCTTATGGAACAACCGTTCTGTAACAAGCCAGCTAAGTAAGCTAAGTAAGTAAGTAAGCATCTGTTCGTCTGCTTGCGCAAGTCCCCATGCTTCAGAACCTTACAACAGAACGGATAGTATCAGCGTAGAGTGTGAGTTTGGTCAACGACATAAAAGTATAAAGATAGGATAATTGATACGTCGACAAATTCCAAAAGATTGCTTTTCCTCTGTTGTTACGAAGGAAAATATTAAACATTCTATGCGCTATATAGCAATCTTATTAAATAACAAAATATACTTTGAGTGCAGATCTCTGATTTTATTTACATTTTATAAACGCATTATCGCGTATTGGCGTTTTTATTGTTAACATGCCTCTGTTATACCTGTTCCCTCTGAATATTTTTTCATAAACTATTTATTCAAAATGCATCTTGTCGAGTTTTTACGGTTTCTATATCTTCGGTTTGGTCTGTCGTAGGGATAAGTAAATCGATTTTCGATTAATCGACTTTCTGTATTGAAAATTCAAAAAAGTCGAAGTCCACTTTTGATCTTGGAGGAAATCGCAAAGTCGTTAAATGAGACCTTCCCTCTAAACAGAAACAGATATAATCAGGGATAGATAGCCTGTATATTCTTCAGATAAATTGGCATTCTAAAATTTATATAATTTTTTTATGAATTACATATCATCGCTAATCAATTTTTATATTCTTGCAGAAGACAAACACCATCATGCTTCCTATAAACGTAGAGCTCATGATGATTATGATCGCCATGCAAAGAGGCCCAAATATGATAAATACGAAAACAATGAACGGGATCGTTATCGGACAAAATCCAAAGATTTCATTGAGCGGAAAGATTTCCACAAACAACAACAGATATCAAATGAATTACAAAAAACACCATCGAATATACCCTCACCGTATGCCCATTTACCACCATCGCCGCCAAGGTTAAAGAGGCCAGCCAATCCATCTAAAATGGATTATAACACAGAAGCCTGTGCCACAGCAGGGGAGGAAAATAATTTCCCCACAAAAAAAGAAGAAATTTCAAAATCCAAGAAAGCGGATTATTTTAAAACTCCTAACGACGTACATCAAGTAGCAGATGCCTCAAGCTACGCCGATAACATAGAACAACTGGAGCAATGTCGAGAATTGCGGAAAATGAAATCTTCACCCGTTAAGAGTTCAAATGTTACTGTGGATATTACCTCAAGTCACGAGACAAAGGAGCTAAATAATTATAAAAATACTAGGAATATACAAAAGGGTTCGACAGCAGGACATTTAAAATCAAATGAAAGCGGACACAAGTCCAAAGGCATTCTAGACCAAAGCGAATCAAAACCGATGTACGTAGACGATTATGCGGAAAAGAATACAAATAATAAAAATACTGGGAATTTTACAAAATGGGATAAAACATTTGAACAATTGGGTACAATCGCCAATAGAGCTCAAACATCCTTAAAACAAGGCGATGGAAATAAAAATAAGGATATTTCTCATGGAACGATGGAAAGATCCAATAAAAATACTGCGATACCAAAGATGCCAACTGATATTCATAAAAGTTGCAATAGTGAATTTAAATCCCATCATCTTCTTGAAGAATCAATGGAAAAGCGCTATAAAATTGCTAACACAAATGAAACTTTAAAAAATACTGGGAATCACAAATCGTCTGCCAGCAATTCGCATTCAAGTACTCAGTACCCTCAAAACAATGCACAAAAATTTGAAAAAAAATTTAATAAAAATAATGAATTTAACACAAATACTGGGAAAAATGATGGTACCATGATTGAAGATAATTCTAAATATACAACTAAAGGAGATCCGAGTACAAATGTTAATCAATCGGAAAATAATGCAACTAAGCGTATAGAGAATAGTGGGAAAATTGCACCAAAAGTTATATTTACCACGGCACCACCACCTACACACTTTAATAAAAATCAACAACAATCCCGTTCAACAAATTTTACAAAAAATTATAATAATACCAAAGAAAATACTGGGATTCCGGGCAATGATAATATATTTGATAAACAAGCGGAAAATCAAGAGAACATGTACAATTCCAAATCGTGGAATTCCCCAAAAAATACTGGGAATTTTTCACAGCCTTCTACCAAATTCAATGAGCCCCCACCATCGGTAATATTTTCAACAAAACTTTCCTACGATCAAAACCGTATAAAACCAAACATTAATAAAAACACTGGGAATTTGCCACAAGACAATAATACAACAACACATAGCGACAAATCACCAAGTGATTATATGAATAAACAACAAACTCCATCTAATATTCCTCTACATGGCCCTGAACAAGGCACTACCGGAAATGATTTACAAAATACAGGGAATTTTATATCCAGCAATATAAGATTTGATCGACCACCACCACCATATGGCAATACAAATCATAGTAATACAATTAATTTTGCCGGAAATCGTAATTCTAACACTTTTGAAAATTTCCCCAATCACCAAAATACTGGGAATTTTGCACAATTTCCACCGAATTTTAATCAACCACCTCCAACAATGCAATTTAATCGCTTCCAGAACCAAAATGAGTTTACAAGCAGAGAAAATACTGGGAAATTTGCACAACAAAATACGGGTAATTTTAATCTGAGGCCATATGAAAACCATAGACAGATGCCCCAAAATACGGAAATGTCTACTAGGAACTTTTATCAAAATTCAAGTGATCACCAAAATACAGGGAATTTCTCGCAATTCCCTGCAACAAATACCGGCAACTCTACACAACACTCAAACACGTATAATAACCATCATCAGCCAAATCGAATGTCTTTCCAGTACCAAAGATATAGCGGAAATAATTGGGGAAATTTCGAAAGATATAAAAATACTGGGAATTTTTCAAATAACAGTACACTTTATAATGGCCCTACTCTATATGAAAATAATAGGGGCCAAAATATGCCACCAAAACACAATGAAAATAATGCCGATAATACATTTAACCAAAATACTGGGAATGAAAATTACCATAAAAACATGGGAAATTTTTCGAAATCGAATATAAAAGAAAATACAATAGGAGCTAACGGTGAAATGCCTTGTCGCAATGAAATATCAAATCAATTTGATAAAAATACTGGGAATGCAACTACCAATCATGAAACAAAAAATAATGGGAATTTTAATTACAAACAATCAGCTGATAACTATTATCATCAGCAGCAGGCTCATTATCATAATAAAGATAACGTGAATTTTCCCCATGTTTGTGATCAAAAAAATACTGGGAATTTTAATAATAGTGATAATTTGCCACCAGTTCGAAGCTCTAAGCAAAATCAGACTTCTGAGTCGAATACAAATTACAATAATGCTTTGACAATTCATGATTCAAAAAATAATGGGAATTTCAATAATGTGAATATCCCGTTAACGGATTATAATTCCCAAAACCAGAAGGAAAATCAGAATAGCAATTACAAAAATACAGCTGCGGTCGGTGAACAAAATAATACTGGGAAAAATGAAATATGCGAAAATGAAAATATTGCTGCCTCTTCGAATTTGGACAACTCTGGAAGTGGGGACAATACAAATCCACAGCCAGTGGATAATAATGGACCCCGTTCTGCACATAATATTCCACCACTACCCTATGAAAATACTGGTAATTACAGTAAAAATATCCAATTCGGTATGAGAAGACGCACAAATGTCCGAATGGTGGATTATAAAATGGATCGGCATTTTGGTGTTAAAAACAATTTTCCGAAATTCGGTAATAGGAGGGATTTAAATACTCCACCACATAACTCTGGAAAATTGAAGGACGATGGAGGTTTTCAAATTAATCCCTCTTTGTTGGGTGGCAATCAACGTTTTTATGAGGACATTAATCCCGCTCCACCCGTCGAAATGAATACGAATGTCATTCAAAATAATTCGCCAAATACAAGAGGCCCACCGGGGAAGCCAAGACAAATAAGAAGGCCGCCAGGATTTCCATTTAAAGCACCGCAACAATTCGGTAAGAATCTCAACTATCCTCGTCAAGGTGTGGGAAAATTCAATCAGAGAGGATTCGCTCCGCCTTTGAGAAACCAAAGCGCCCAAAGGTTCAATAGGAACCCCATGAATAAAATGTCACTTCGAACAGCGACCTTGAAACGGAATTTCCAAAAACAGCAATACTCCAAAGTTCCTCTAAAACCACAAAATAAATTTGCCCAGAAGTTATTGAAAAACAAAAAATTGAAAACTGATAAAACCACAACAAAACAAAATAAAGAAACAAAGAAAACAAAAACCAAAAAGGCGAACAAAAACAAAGACGCCTTGGAGGAAACCCCCGAAGACGATCACATCGATATAAACAAACAAATATTTGGTGACTTCAAACCGATTCAGGTTAGCGCAAAGAAACCCGCCAAGGGTCATTTGAAACCCCAACCTGAAGAATATTGGCGGCAATGGTGGTCGCTTTATGGTTATGTGGAGCAGGCGATTACACCCATCGAGCGCAACGATCCCGCTGTCTCTGAAATACTCGATTTCCATCTCACGCCCGAAGATAAAGAATTCCGCAAACGTAAACGGGTTCTCCTGACAATGGGTGTAACGAAAATCTTAAAACACATACGCCTCAACGAATCGGATTATGCTTTACGCGATATCTTTAATGTTCTCAAATATAAACATCAATTAGAAGATCCCAAATTTCAACAACACCTTAGCGAAAAAGAAATGCAACGCCTTGAAATGGTCTTGAAAAATGCCAAGAAGAAAACACGAAGATCATTTTTCTATCAGAGCATCGTGTGTCGTTGGCATTTCTCAGCGCAGATTGTTAAGCGTGCCGAAAATGGGGAACCCCTAAAGGTGGGACATGCGAGGAAATTACTGGCGAACAAGCTATTTCTATATTTTGTTACGGAATCTATACAGGAATTGAAGGTAAGGAGGAGAATATTTTGAAATAAGAAATAATATATAAATCTGACATCTGCACTACTTTTCAGAAACTAATTATCGAAGACTGGCCGGGATTTGAAGAATACTATAAATCTTTACAAAGTATTTAAGTTAAGTTTTACAGTGCCATACATGTAAATATGCATGAATAAATAAAATATAAATACATACAAATGTATTAAAAAATCGGGCTTTTATTAGGTTAGGTTGAAAAGAGGGATGGTTTACACCACCACATTTCCATTAAGCCTGTGAGTGACCTTCTATAGGCTCTAGATAAAGAAGTTCTTGTAACAAGTTGGCTATTGTTATAAATTATTAATTAGGAATTTGGATTTGAAGAGGGTAGCCGGAGAAACTGTGTTACCTCTATTGGATTTAGTCATAAGTCTATAGACAATAGTTTCGTTGCGTTCGCTATCGACAATCTGTTGACGTCCGATGGAATGACGCCCCAACACTTGATGTCACTCGGAAAGGTTGGAAATTGTGATGTCTGATATGAGCTCGGAATTATCGACGGTATCAAACGCCTTGGGCAGATCTAAGACTGCTAAAAGACCATTGCTTCCTCATGTACATCGTCTACTGGCTTTATAAGGAGGCACCCTGTCGCAGTTCTCTGGACGGCATTCTAACAGGTTTGAATCATCTTCCACTGCGTATCACTTAAATTCGCGAACCACACTGGCGCCGCATAGCTTATCACCGACTGATCTATTTTTTGTAGGATGTCAACAAGGTCTCTTTATTAACATCCCAAGAGCTGCCGGCAAGCGACTTGAGGACCTTGCTCCAGCTTCTCATCTTATCGCAAATAGAGGTGGCTTGCGCGGACGACTTAAATAAGCTATATCGAACGTTGCACCCAAAATTTTGAGATAGTATGTAGTCGTAATTAGTGCACAATCGACCATAATATTCAGAGGGAGCTTCATTTCAGCCGTCAATGTGGTGAACAGAGTGGCTGTGGATTAGGCGGCGGATATCTTTATATTCCTCAGATGGAAGAACTGTACTAAATTAGCTATGTAGATATTTATCCTGGGACCCGACGCCATGATCGTACAATCATCCGCATGCATTACGATCTCTAAGCCGTCCGGTGGTTGTGGAATTTCAGAAAGAAAGAAGTTAAACAGTTCCGGAGATATGACCCTACCTTGGTTAACTCCCTGTGTCACTCTACGGCTTTTAGACCACGGATGTTAGACCACACATGTACTTGATTTTCAACTAGACCGAAGGTTGGTCTTATCTATGTCATACATGTTTGCGCGGGATTCTGTCGTCAGCAAGGCTTTCGGTACGAAGTTGGTCGCGTTGCTTTGTCAATCTGGAGGTCCTGAATGGATAGTTTGGTCTCATAAATAAATTCTGCCCGCGTTTTGCCGAATTTAGAATATTTTCACGGAATATCTTCTCACCTAGCACTTAAGGAGTCATCAACGAATTTTATGAAGCCCTGCCAGTTGGCTTTATTACGCTGATCGGGCTCCACGAAATCGCTGTGTTTCTCGAGCATGACCAGGATGTGAATATGGTCTCAATTTAAAGCGACCTTGGTTTGCCAGGAGGTATACGGAAGGAGCGATGGGCTGGTTAGGGAAATGTCCAGGGAGCTCGAACACCTAGCAGTGACCCTGGTAGAGAAATTTTATTATCTCCCTGCAGCAGGTGGATGATACTTGGATGATAACTGTCCCCAATGTTGCAGATGGGCGGAATATATACATTGACTATTTCAAATTCAGAATCGTCAGAATGAACTGAAATTCTCAAAACCTCCAGGAAAGGACTAGGTAGGAAACGGAGGGAAAGCTGTGACTACTCTTTTTTCAGGTATTCGGTCCGACTCAAAACTACTGATTTATGATCCGATTGTGGCATGTGCTATACTTTAGTGCGGCCTACTGTGTCCGGTGTCGATCCACTCGTTCATAACCTTAAGTCTTAGACTATAACCCAATGTACCCTTCATAGTCTACCAACGGAATCTATACATGAATTGAAGGTAAGGAGGAGAATATTTTGAAATAAGAAATAATATATAAATCTGACATCTGCACTACTTTTCAGAAACTAATTATCGAAGACTGGCCGGGATTTGAAGAATACTATAAATCTTTACAAAGTATTTAAGTTAAGTTTTACAGTGCCATACATGTAAATATGCATGAATAAATAAAATATAAATACATACAAATGTATTAAAAAATCGGGCTTTTATTAGGTTAGGTTGAAAAGAGGGATGGTTTACACCACCACATTTCCATTAAGCCTGTGAGTGACCTTCTATAGGCTCTAGATAAAGAAGTTCTTGTAACAAGTTGGCTATTGTTATAAATTATTAATTAGGAATTTGGATTTGAAGAGGGTAGCCGGAGAAACTGTGTTACCTCTATTGGATTTAGTCATAAGTCTATAGACAATAGTTTCGTTGCGTTCGCTATCGACAATCTGTTGACGTCCGATGGAATGACGCCCCAACACTTGATGTCACTCGGAAAGGTTGGAAATTGTGATGTCTGATATGAGCTCGGAATTATCGACGGTATCAAACGCCTTGGGCAGATCTAAGACTGCTAAAAGACCATTGCTTCCTCATGTACATCGTCTACTGGCTTTATAAGGAGGCACCCTGTCGCAGTTCTCTGGACGGCATTCTAACAGGTTTGAATCATCTTCCACTGCGTATCACTTAAATTCGCGAACCACACTGGCGCCGCATAGCTTATCACCGACTGATCTATTTTTTGTAGGATGTCAACAAGGTCTCTTTATTAACATCCCAAGAGCTGCCGGCAAGCGACTTGAGGACCTTGCTCCAGCTTCTCATCTTATCGCAAATAGAGGTGGCTTGCGCGGACGACTTAAATAAGCTATATCGAACGTTGCACCCAAAATTTTGAGATAGTATGTAGTCGTAATTAGTGCACAATCGACCATAATATTCAGAGGGAGCTTCATTTCAGCCGTCAATGTGGTGAACAGAGTGGCTGTGGATTAGGCGGCGGATATCTTTATATTCCTCAGATGGAAGAACTGTACTAAATTAGCTATGTAGATATTTATCCTGGGACCCGACGCCATGATCGTACAATCATCCGCATGCATTACGATCTCTAAGCCGTCCGGTGGTTGTGGAATTTCAGAAAGAAAGAAGTTAAACAGTTCCGGAGATATGACCCTACCTTGGTTAACTCCCTGTGTCACTCTACGGCTTTTAGACCACGGATGTTAGACCACACATGTACTTGATTTTCAACTAGACCGAAGGTTGGTCTTATCTATGTCATACATGTTTGCGCGGGATTCTGTCGTCAGCAAGGCTTTCGGTACGAAGTTGGTCGCGTTGCTTTGTCAATCTGGAGGTCCTGAATGGATAGTTTGGTCTCATAAATAAATTCTGCCCGCGTTTTGCCGAATTTAGAATATTTTCACGGAATATCTTCTCACCTAGCACTTAAGGAGTCATCAACGAATTTTATGAAGCCCTGCCAGTTGGCTTTATTACGCTGATCGGGCTCCACGAAATCGCTGTGTTTCTCGAGCATGACCAGGATGTGAATATGGTCTCAATTTAAAGCGACCTTGGTTTGCCAGGAGGTATACGGAAGGAGCGATGGGCTGGTTAGGGAAATGTCCAGGGAGCTCGAACACCTAGCAGTGACCCTGGTAGAGAAATTTTATTATCTCCCTGCAGCAGGTGGATGATACTTGGATGATAACTGTCCCCAATGTTGCAGATGGGCGGAATATATACATTGACTATTTCAAATTCAGAATCGTCAGAATGAACTGAAATTCTCAAAACCTCCAGGAAAGGACTAGGTAGGAAACGGAGGGAAAGCTGTGACTACTCTTTTTTCAGGTATTCGGTCCGACTCAAAACTACTGATTTATGATCCGATTGTGGCATGTGCTATACTTTAGTGCGGCCTACTGTGTCCGGTGTCGATCCACTCGTTCATAACCTTAAGTCTTAGACTATAACCCAATGTACCCTTCATAGTCTACCAAACCTATTATTTTTCTCCGCTTTTTGCCAACGGTCCTTTCTGCCAACATACGCTAACGTTTTGATTGTGTTCAATCAAACAGTGTTGCCTTTTTCGCTTCATTACATTGACAACAATCATACGGCGAACTAGTCAACCCTATTCGAGAGAAGAAAGTTATCGAGAAAATAATATAGACGACCACTTGGAGAAAAACGAAATTTATTGATTGCAATTTATTTTGTTCCGGTTGGAGGAAAACAAAATGGGAGATCGCCGTAATTTTAATCGGAATTATGATAATGATGGACCGCGGTTTCCAAGGGTAAGTAGTGGTGGTGCATTTTTTATCTGTAGTTCCTTAACAAATTCTTTTCTTCTTCCTCCGCCTCGGGTTGTTTAGAACAATTTAGAGCAAAATCTCAATCAATATTTTTCATCCAATCGTCCGGACAATCAACAACAGCAGCAACCGCCACCAATGAATAATTTCAATAATTCCGGTCCAGGTAAGCTGTAGAAGGTAGTTTAGTTTTAAGTTTGTATATGGAGTGGTGTTCAGGGAGTGTTTGGGAGGCGTAAGGATGTGTATGCTTTTTTAATGTTTTCCACATACCACGTTGTGGTTGTTGGATGTGTGTGTGCGTGTGTGCATCAGGATACGGGAGCAATTTATTCTTTATAATTTGTAAGGAAAAAATTATTTTGAGGACTGGCTTCGAAACCACTCAAGTTTTCTTTATTTCGATTGCCTTTATATAGGCCGGTCTATTAAAACTCTTCAGGATTTTAATATAAATTTTTGGTGTATGTGAACTTCGTGGTGTTTTATACCTACATTTTATCTTATTTAATATAACATATTTTTTGAAAATATATCCAAAATCATAATTCCGACATTTTAACACAATCAGGTAATCGTCGTCGTTATGATAACAATTCTGCAAGACCATCCCGCTCAAATGTAAGGGATGATTATAATACTATGTCCAAACCAGTACAAACACCACGTGATATGGATTCTCGTCAATTTGGTGATGGCAATTATTATCGTGATCAAAAAGATCATGATAATGATTTATTCCGCCGCCGTGAGGATAACAACAGCAACCGGAATAGACGAACAGCAAATGATCAGGATTTTCAAAGACGGAGTGATTTTAATACCCATAAGGAGGCACAATGCAACAACAATCAGGATTTTAGTCGAAGAGGTGATGACAATTGTCGTTATGATTCTGCAACATCTTATCATGAAGAAAGGAGGAGAAGGGATGAGGCCAGGCAATTTTCTAGTGGAGATAATGACATGAACAGGAATGATTATAACAATGAACGTCGAGGAGGAGGAGGTGGAGGTAATCGTTTCAATTCGAATACTGATGACCGAGGTCCACCACCTCATAACCAATCATCATGGAATGATGACAATCGTTCACGATCTCGTTCACGAAGTGATATGAATAGGAATGATTATAATAATGAACGTCGTGGAGGAGGAGGTGGTGGAGGCAATCGTTTTAATTCGAATAATGATGACCGAGGTCCACCTCTTCATAATCAATCATCATATAATGATGAGAATCGATCACGATCTCGTTCACGAAATGATATGTACAGGAATGATTATAATAATGAACGTCGAGGTGGCAATTGTTTCAATTCGAATAATGATGTCCGAGGTCCACCACCCCATAACCAATCATCATATAATGATGTTAATCGTTCACGAAATGAACCTGAATTTGAAAACACAAATCTATTTGCACGAAGGGAAAATGTCCCCCAGGATACTAGAAGCCGCCATCAAGAAGATGCCCCAAGGAATTATGGTGGTGATTTTGGAACAAATTATCAAAATAATCAAGGATTTGAAGGACAACACACTCGTAATTATTCACCTCAACAATTTGGTGGTGATTTTGGAACAAAATATCCAAATAATCAAGGATTTGAAGGACAGCAAAATATGAATTATTCATCACAACAATATGGAAAGAAAACTGAATTCGACAATTACACAAATTTTAGAAATAATTCCGATTTTGGTTATAACAATCCCCCACCAGCAGCCGGCACATTTCAAGGCAGTACCCATGGAGGTTTTCAAGATACCAATATTGGATATTTCCCAAGAAATAACGATTTCGGAGGAAATACATTTATGAATTCAACAAATAGCTTCAATCAACCACCACCAGCATCACCACCAGGACCAACAAATTTTGATGGCCCGCCACCACCTGGTGGTTTTGGTTATAATCATTTTGGTTATAATTTACCACAAAATAATTTTGGTAATAGCCCACAACCACCATTTACCCCAGATAATATATCTGGTAATTTTCCAGGTGGTAGTGGTGTGGTGGGTGTGGGTCCTAGGAATAGCTGGACAGCTAATCCCCAAGATTTCAAACAGCAAAACAATTCAATGAATTTTAATAATAAACGTGGACGCTCCAGGGATAATTCAATGGGTGATGGACGTGCCATTTCACCAGGTAACAATGAAAGAAAATTGTCGGGACCACCTCCTAATAAAAATAAGGACAAAAACAAGAAAAACAAAAAGAACAAGAAAATCAAAAAGGAGCTGAAACAGCAGCAGAAAAACAACCAAAACACCACCCCACAGCAGGAAAATGAAGCAACAAATGATGAAACAACAACAAACAAAAAAGGCAAACTACGTGGCCGTAAAAAGAATAAGGATGTCAACTTCCTAAGGCGTCGTCGTCAAGCCAATGTGCTGAAGGATGAAGCACAACGTCTAGAAGATGCGGGTATTCTAAAAAAACCACCCAAAAATCTTTCCAAATGTGAACCCGAATTGTATTGGACCAAGTGGTGGCCAAAATATGCATACATTGAAAATGTAATACCACGATTTAGCGAAAACGAAGATGGCATCAAAGAATTCATCAATTTCAACTACGAACCAGAAAGTCAAAAGCTAGAGATACGCAAAAAACTTCTACTGCGTATTGGTTGTGCGAAAATAAGCAGAACTTTAGACATCAATGAAATCAATTATCCGTTGCGTGATGTCTATAAACTATTTGTGTATCGTAAACACTTAATGGATCCAAATTTCCATAAACATCTAACGTTTCACGAACTGCATCGCGTGAAAGTAGTATTGGATAATCTTAGAAACAAATTCCGCTGGGCATTGATGCTGCAAAGTTTTATACATCGTTGGCATGATTCAAATGAAAAACAACATGCCGGCGAGCGTAATCGCAATGCCATCAAATTGCAGAATGATAAACTATTTCATTATTTAGTTTTGGAAGCTATAAATGATTTGAAGGTAGGTTGGAATATTAATTAATTTTTTTATTTTAAAAGAAAAAGCTAAACAGATAGACGATAATAATTAGCATAATAATTTTATATTTTTACGCGCATGAAAAATTGCAACAGCAATTACCATTAAGGAACTGCTATCTTCACTTTACTAAGATATTGGAACAAATTGTCAATGTTGACGGTACTTAACGAGCCGAGAGTCATACTCGACAAACGACAGTCACCATAGCCCTTTGTGTAAAAAAACATTAGGGCTGCTGCTACATAAACACATTCCGAAGGCATCTTTACTTTCGTTTCCACAACTAGAGAGGTCTTCGGTCCGAAACTGTCAACTCAGACCATTGGCAAAAGCGATAGGGCTGCTACAACAAAAATAACAACATTTTTATTAATTTCTCTTTCGAGATGAGCTGCATGATCGAAGTTGCAATGAAAAGGAAAGCCAGAGAGATACTACATTCCCACCATTATGCGACGCGTTTCGCCGTTGATTAAGGGGCTCATCAGGCATATTGGACAATGTGGCTTACTAATATCGTTACTTAATAAGTTGTATTTATGTCTAATATTGTTTCGAAATTGCATCTACGAATTAAATTTAACCGTGTCAAGGTTCGGGCATTTGGCATCACACCAGAACATTCCTTTTCAGAGCAGATTTTTCTTGTAGTGACGGACTTTTTTCCATACAGACTACAATATTTTTCTTCAATGGTACGCAACTGCATATTGTTCAACCTTAGGAAGATAAGGAGGTGGCTTTGAACGCTAAGGCGCCGGACAATAATCAACAGATGCCATGGGAACCAGGGTTCAAATCCCAGCCGGGCTCAAGCTTTTCAATTTTTAGTTTCCATGACAATGGAATCTACCATCCGAAACGAATTGAGACTTACTCTTTACAGCTATTTTTTACAATAAGGCATGGATTGCTAATTGGAATAAATCTTGGATTTAACAATTTCATGTAACTGGGATGCTGGATCATGCTGGGATCAAGGACCAAAAAAAATCTTGGATTAAAAAAAAAGTTGAGCTTAAAAAAAGATTTCCAGGCGTCTTGTGCGCAGCTATTCCAATTTGAAAAATCATGTTCCGTAATTTCTTCCACTCCTTTTTGTGGCATTCTCCTTCGACGTAACCATCAGTTGACTCGCTTTTATATGCCTTTGAGCTGGGGCATCCTCATCCAATCTCACAACATGACCTTAATGTCTTACAATGTCGATGTTCGAGAATAGATGGTACAACTCATGGTTCATTCGACGGCTATATTCAACATTGACCAGGGATGGTCCGTGTGACGAATTTTTAGTTTTTCGACTGTCAAAAAGGTGTAAACGTCGATAAAGTCATATACCTGTATAAAATGTAATAAATGTAGTAAACGTCATTTATTTCAATATTATCAGCATATAAAGTTATTTTGAAGAATATATATTCGGGCATGTTCTGGCATTCACTTCAACGGCAAAAGTGTATCGAATACACGTCGAGGTGTTCTGTAACACACTTTACACCCATTTGAGGTGTATTCTTTACACTTACATTTTCATAGTGAGAGTCGGGTGTATTCATGTTTTTTCATATAAAAGAAATACTTTTTTGAAATAAAAAAGGCACATGATGGGAGATTGAAATGTTATTATTGCGTATAATTTGTTTAAAATCACAAAATGAACATGAAACACCATTAAAAGCAAATTTTAAATAGATACTAAGGTTTGTCTTGAATTTTCTTCAACTGAATTTCTCGCTTGACACAAACAGCTGATTTGAAGTAAGGCTGAAAAAAGATAGGGTTACCAAATGTTAATGATATTACATTGTTTTTCATACATATATTTTATGTTGCAAATAATAAAATATTAAAAAAAATAATAATAAAATTGTCGTTAGAATTAACGAAATTACTAAAAAAATACAGAAACAATGTTAAAAACGAATACAGTTTATCGGGTATGTTCTGGAATTCACGGTGTGTTGTTTTCACTTCACACATACACTTCACCTCAGAAGTTACCTCCTGTTCTGGTTCTCACGTGAATTGAAATTTTCAACTGCGACAAAAATAAACGCCAACATGGTACTTTGCAGAAATAGTGTTACCATACGTTATAAACTGTATACGTTTTTAACATGGTTTCTCTAATTTTTTACTAATTTCGTTAGATCTAACGATAATTTTGTGACATTTCTGACATTTTCAACAGGATGTTAAACAGGTCACACGTCAAACTGTCACCTTGTCTAAATCCTCGTTCGGTATTAAAGGGCTCCGTAAGGTATTTTCCGACTTTAACTGCAAACCTTGTGCCAGTTAAAGTTATCCTGCATGGCTTTAAATACCTATGAACGGATAGGGCTGTCTAATGCGGCTTTATAGTCGACGAATATGTGGAATGTGTCGGTGATTCTTTTCCAAGATTTGGCGCACAGTGAAAATCTGGTCAATGGCGGATTTGCCAGGCCTGAAGCCACATTGGTATGGTCCAATAATGACATTGACTATTGGTCTTCAGTCGTTTACACAGTAAGCTGGATAGCACTTTACATGCGATGAGACTTATTCCTCTATAGTTGATACATGTCGTCTTGTCACCTTTTTGTGCACGGAATGCAGGGTGCTGAGATTCCAATCGTTGGGCATGCATTCCTCTAGCCGAATTGTACTAATCAGTTGGTGATTGCTCCATATCAGCGTTTGACCACCGGCCTTGAATAGTTCGGCTGGTAATCGGCATCAGCCGATTAATTGCTATTCTGGTTAGGTGGTATACAATCTATACCGCGAATACCAACCAGAACTGGATAAAAATATCTGGTTTGATACTGTTGCCTTCTTAATATACCTTGGTTTAGACTCAGGAACAATAAGCATATATGTACACTGATGGCCAAAACTAAAGCAAGCTCGTACTGATCAACAAATTGTCATAACCGGTAAAAACCCATTAAGAGTTAACAGAATTTGTGAGACGATTATCTTTGGATATAACCTCAAGAAGAGAGAGAGAGTGAACGAGCTATGGTAGTAGGACTACATGCCCGGAAACTATCATGAAAGTTATTTTATTTCTGAAAAGAATCGGAAAGTCAGATTGCCTTTCGCAAAAGTTCATACTAATTGGAATTCGACTAAGTGGAGAAAGTCGGCTTAAAGTTAAAAATTAAAGACACAGACATGAAAAACAAAAAATTACCATAAATGAAAGGTTCCGGCCACAGTATTGCAAGCATGGAGGGGGGTCAGTAATGGTAATGGGTTGTTTTTCTTTTTATGAAGTAAATCTCTTGAAATGAGCTATTTAGGGACATTTGGAAATTGGACAACCGATAGAGCTGGAATGGTGACATTGGGTAACAAATTTGGATTTGGGTGAACCTATGTTTTCCAAATAAGTATTACAACAGTACAAAGTGCATTAAATGATACCAAATTTATTATAGAGCTAGATTTCTGTTGCGGTCAGAATTGGTGTGTAGAGTTGAGATATATAGGTACTTTTGGAAATACGGTATTGTTTTAAATAATTCACACATTCGTTAACGAAGATGCGGGCATATGCTAGTATAAATATAAAAACTTATTTTTAATTTATTTATCTTTTGAAAGCCAGAGAGATACTACATTCCCACCATTATACGACGCGTTTCGACGTTGGTTAAGTGGCTTATCAGGCATATTGGGCAATGTGGCTTACAAATGTCGTCAATTGATATGTTGTATTTATGTCGAATATTGTTGCGAATAACATCTACGAATTAATTTCAAACGTGTTAAGGTTCGGACATTTGACATCTCACCAGCACATCGCTTTCCAGAGCATATTTTTGTTCTTGTCGCGGCGGATTTTTTTTTTCCATACAGACTACAGACAGTTCCATTTTTATACCCTTCATTTTACTGTTTGGAAACTACATAGACACATGGTTCTTCTCGAGAATATGCATAAAATCACATTCGGAATCGATGTATGCATGTCCGTCTCTCCCTATTTATGTCTGTCCATGTTGAATTGTAGCTTCCATATATATTTTCTTCACCAAACATTTTTAAAATGCCGAAAATCGTACGGTATCATTATTTGATATATGTTCTAAATCATGGATCGTTTTCAAACATGGTAGGATTATGTGCAAAATTTCAATGCTCTATTTTTTTTTTCAAAAAATTAAACCATAAACTCTTCAATTAATTTACAAATATATAATGAGAGCTCATTCGTGATTTTAATAAACAGAAGGATATGACTAAAACGATGTTATTCTGATTAAAAAAATCCAATTTCTATCTAAATTAAAAATTAACCCACTAAATGTCTGACCACTATCTTTCAATAAAACATAGACTCCCCTTTGTAATGTGTATATCGACTAATCTCTAACTGTTTAGCTTTTCTAATTTATTTTGATGTCCCTAAAGAAAAAAAAAACAATATTTTCAAAATTTCCAATTTCATTTTTTTAGGAATTATGCTCCAATGAATGGCCTGGATTTAAGGAATTCCATCAAAATCTAATGGCAACACTTGAAGGCAAAACTTATCCTACAAATCCACACCCAACGGACTCCATCGCCAATGCAGAGGAGGAAGATGATCATCAAGATGGTGGAGATGAAGACAACGACAACGAAGGTGAAGGTGAAGAAGATGACTATGAAGGCGATATTGCTGAAGATGACAACGAAGGTGAAGAAGATGACTATGACGATGCAGGAGATATTGCTGAAGATGGCGATAATGGAGACGACGGTGACGAAAATACTGCTGATGAAGAAGCAAATGATGATGCAACAGATGATCAACCTGGTGTTCAAGAATAAACACAAACACACACATTAAAATCACATCGTCATTTCCTTGTCCGTGAATATTCACATTATTTAAATGTTCATGTCAAAAAGTTAAACTGAGTTTGAGTGAAAAGAACGAAGATGACAAATTTTATTAAAAATTTGTCGGCCTCTTCTTCACCATAACTCACACTTGCTTTCATCATTTAGTATGGTATTATAATACCTTTTAATTATTATGTAGGATACTGCAAACAAACCGTTTGTAATTTATATGAAGTACTGCATACACACATACATACATACATAAATTTTTAGAATGAAATAAAAATGCGGATATGTGTTTATCTGAAATTATAAATTGAATTGAATTAGTTTTTTTTAATGGGAGACATAAATGGATCTGACGTAATCCATATCGACAGAAAGCACCTTTCATACTACAGAAAAAATCGCCTTCTGATGTATCGGTGGCATATTTATTTATTAAGTAATACAATAACCTACCAAAAAATATATTGTATAGTCTATAAACCTGAAATAATTTTAACATAATGCATGGGAATATCACTAATATGTAAAGCACACTATGCCTAAGGACTACAGACAGATTAGCATCCCTTACTTTTCTGCTGAAGACAATGGCAAGGCTATTGGACCTTAGACCTAAATAAATCAGTAATGCAGAGTACCCCTATATCAAACACGTCGCTTGATACTGGTTCGTTGAATGTGTTGAAAAAAATGGAGATCAATAATTTTTTGTTTGCAGCCTTTCCCGATACTCGAGGGAGCCTTTAATAACGTCAAACTAGAATTGATCCATTTGATACTCGTAATCAAAGGGATTTTCTCTATTCTAGTGGAATACTCTTTAAAACCCCCAACCCTTGGCCTTAGAAAAATATTAAAAAAAACTCCCAATCTTTGTTCCAAGAAAAAATATTTTTAAAATCCAAATATATTTTCAGCAGATCATAGATTGGTTAAGGAATATTATTTCACGGCTCTCCATAGCTAAGATTCCTTAGCGAATATCTTTTAATGCGCGATAGAAGAATATGTGTTCGAGGTTCAGCAGAGCCTAGATCTTTTAATGGGTATTTTTAGGGTTCACCAGAGCCTATATTGGTCAAAGCATACTTTTTGAAGGTTCATCGTAGGTAAGAATTATTAAAGAATATCTGTTATATATTAGTCAAAGAATAGAAAAAGGAATGGACTAGTATGGTTTGCAATTTGAGGCTTCAAATTGCATTTTTTTGAAATGAATAAGGTCCTGAATTTATTAAAAAATATATTTTCAAATCTCGTCAGAGCCTAAATTTTTTAAAGAATATTTGTTTCCGGTTCGTCTGAGACTAGATTTATTATAGACTATTTTTCAAAGTTGGGCAGAGTCTATATTAGACAAAGATTATTTTCCTTATTAAACAAAAATTTATTTTCAAGGCTCGACTAGATTTTTTAAAGAATATTTTTCAGGGTTCGCTAGATTTGTTAAAGCATACTTATCCAATGTTGGGGAGAGTCTAAATTAGTCAAAGAATATTTTCCAGTTTCACGAGGTAAATAGTAATTTCAAATTAAATTTTTATTGCGTAATTTATGCAATTTGGTATACGTTCTAAATATTTTAATAAAATTTCATTTGAAATATTCTTCCAAACACATCAGATTCGTTGCCAAAATTCGTCTAAATTATTCGGGGCTAATTGGTACTTATCCTACAGGATAGGTGTTCCTCTCTACCAAGACCGGTTGATATTACTCTACAATGCTCTCAATAGACTTATTTCATTAATATATTGTCATTTTTTTTACATCGCTCCAGGATCCACATGTTAAAGCCTACTCATAACATGGCAATTCCTCAACCGTGCTTCACATTGGGCCTTTGAATTAGTTTTCATCACAAATAATGCTTATCGTTGGATTGAAAACGGTTGAATTCGGATTCGTCGGACCCGATCACACGTTTCCAGTCGACCACAGTTCAACGTTTGGTCTAGTTTGAAAAGTCCTTATACTGATTTTGCTGTTTTTTCCTATAATAAAGGTTTTTAGTTTTTTTTTATTGTTGCTATATCCATTGTCGGGAAGGGCTCTTCACGCCGTTTAATGACTAATGGGTTTGACGAGTACTTACAAAGCATATTTTGGTATTAAAACTTATCAAATTACATTTCCCTTATCATTAGACGTGGGTCCACACAACTTGTAAGCGGTGTACGACTTCTAATTTGAGGTTTGGGGACAACGGGACACCGTTTTTGTACCCATATGATCACTAATTGACACAATTTAAGTCCCTTTGCATTTTCCAACGTAGAACAGCTCAAGACCCGAATGGCCTCTTCAGTGGTTATTAAATATTTCATCATGATTTTTTTAATATTAGTTATTTATTAATTTTTGTTCAAAATTTTGCACAATTTTTCGCTTGAACTTAGAATTATTAAACTATAATTTTTTCAAGGATCGCCTGAGCCTAGATTTTTTAATGTTCACTCAAACATAGATATGTATTTTTTTTTTTTTTTTTTGAAATGATACCTAAAAATTATTCTTAAAAATTCCTTCACATTCATTAGAGGTCATTGAAAATACATTCTTTAACAAACATCCACATCTCCTCTTATAGGCATTAATTATTATTTTTTTTTGTTATCTCCTTTTGCAGGCACATTCCGCAATAACAATGATCCAATGTCCCGAGGTGATAATACAAATAATTCAAATTTCCCACCATTTGGAATGAATCTTGGAGGCGGCGGCGGTAATGCAACAAATTTCAATCCTCAACCACAACAACCATTATTCAGTCAAGGACAGCAATCAAGATTTAATAAAAATAACAGGCAGCAACCAAATTTTACCACTGGCAAGGGAGAACATTGGAATTATTTTGGCAATAGCAACAACAATAATTCGCGCAATAAAAATAGCATCTTTGATAGGCTTGATAAAAAGCCTACATTTGGTGGAGGAGTAGGAGGAGGTAATAACACAAACAAGCAGAATAAATTTGAGGATGATTTTATTAGAGGTGGGGGTGTCGGTGGTGTCAGTGGTGGAGTAGTTCCAGAGAATAATAAAAACCAAAACTGGAACAATAATCGAAATTTTGGTCCTAACACCAACAACAACTATGCAGACAATGTTGGGGGAGGAAGGGCCAATAATTTTAATGGTCCTTCAAATGATTGGGATGATTCGGCCAATGATTTCAAAGGTGGTGGGGGAGCTGGAACAGGTGTTGGTTGGAGAAATAATAATAACCGAAACTTTGAGCCGGATAAGCCCATAAATGGAGGACGTAATAACAATGATGTCTATAACCAAAATGAATTTAGATCTGTTGGTGGACAAGCAAACTTTGGATCTGGCAATATGATGGAGGGCAAAAATATCAATACCCGCTGGGGTAATAACACTAGTAGCAGTAGTACAAACATGGAGCCAAATCTTTCAAGAAAAAATAACACGAATTTTGAGGGTGTTGGTGGTAGTAATAACAATTGGAATAATTTTCCTCAACGTAATCCCATTGACTTTGAAACATTCAAAAATTTTGGAAATGGAGCTCGTCAAAATAATTCATGGGATTTAGAAGGTCGGAACAACAGCAACAATATGAGCAATGATTTTGATATTTTTCCCAATGGACCACCGGAAAGAAATCGAAATTTTGTACCCAATAATTTTGGACCTCCTCCCAGCAGTTTACCACCAAATGATGATTTCAATGTGAATTTTGGAAACAGAGAATTTGAGGAATTAGATAAAGATAACAATTGGAATCCACAAATTAATAATTTGGAATCTACTATCAACAACATTCCTATTCGTGGAAAAAATTATAGTATGCCGGATAGAAATCATGAGCAGGACAACTTTAGAGGTGGTGGTGTACGGCCACAAGATGACGTTAGCTTTTCGCAACGAAAACGATTACCAGAAGATTTGGCAAATCAGCACAATCCCAATAATCGGAATTATAGGGGTCCTATGGATAGGAATTATCCAATAACCAATGTTAATGATCCAGAAGAAGAAGAGTTACTACGCAAGAGACAAAGGAGAAATAGCGCCACTAGTGAGGAAACATTTAGAAGAAGAGGTACCAGTTACGATAGACATTTCCCCAATAGTGATTATGATGATGACTCACAAAGATTCGGTCGGAACAAACGACGTGATTCATTTTCCGAACGTAATGATAGACGACAGCATCATCATAACGATGACGATGATTATAATGTGGATGTCAACGATAGTGGCAGCGAATCGGAACGTTTTCCCCGTGGTAAACCCAAGCTATCCATATATAAGGGTAAATTATATCTAAAAACATATCCCAATGGTCCAACAAAACTTAATCCATCAGTATATTGGAGAAATTGGTGGCCAAAATATGTCTACATCGAGACTAGCATTGAACAAATCGATAAAAATGATGAAGAGATCAAATCGAAGCTGAAATTCATACCAAAAACTGATGACATACTCGCCGAAGCAATGGATTTTGTTGAGACGTCTTTGCTTACATATCTGAATGCCACAAGGGATATGGATGAGACAAATTTCCGTGATCGTGATCTGCGCACATTGCTGAGATTACGCGGAACAGTCCATTATATTCTGTTTAATGTGGCAATGACGAAAGCAAATCGTGACCGTTGTCGTACAATTTTACACATGATGAATCATAAAGTTAAGCTGACATATATCTATCAGGATATTATCGAGTTTTGGCATCGTTGCCAGGAAACGGTAAAACGTTTTGAAAATGCTGAAATTTCCCTATCGGATCAAGTGACACAGGCCTATGCTATATTGAGTGATCGTTTGTATATTTATTTCCTGTATGAATCAATTATTAAATTGAAGGTGAGTACACAATTACTTTATACTGGTTTTTTAGGTTTGTGAGGTTATGATCAAAAAATGTGAGGTTATGGTCAAAATATTTTGAAGAACCTTAACTATTTTCCAAGGTTCACCTAGATTTCTCAAAGAATATTTTTGTTCAAGACTCTCCAAATCCTAGAATTATTAAAGAATATTTTTTTCAAGTTCACCAAAACCTAGATTTTTGTTAAAGAATATTTTTTCAAGGTTCAACAAAGACCAGGGTTTTTAAAAAAGATTTATCAAGATTCATTTGTTTAAGAATATTTTTCATTTTTACCAAAGTCTAAATTTGTTAAAGAAAATGCTTTTCGAAGCTCACCAAACCTATGATTATTAAAATAATATTGTTTCTTGTTTCATCCAAGATCCAAGATTAAAAAATATTGTTATTTAATAATCTATATATATAAAAATGGAGCCAACAAAATGTATACTAACGCATCAATTGAGAACGGCTGGACCGATTTGACTCAAAAGGTTTTTATGAAAGAAAATTTTGAGAAAAATCCGCGAAAATCTTGCAAAAATTATTTTAAAGAAACGGCTGGACCGATTTGACTTAAAGTTTCTGTTAGTAGTCTGTAATTGAAGTGGAAAGGTTTTAATGAAATAACATTTTAAGAAAAATCCGCGAAAATGTTGCAAAATATATTTTGAAAGATATTAGCATTTCCACACATTTTATACCGAACATTTATGGTTTCATCTCTTCGTAGTTCTTTTTGGACATATTTTGGTAGAAAATGACAGCGTATATCTTTATGTAATTGTCAGTTATGGAAAATTCTCAAAATATGTTAATTTTCTACAATCAATTGGATTGTCTTTGACTTCAAAAAAGTTGCTGTTCGTTAGTCTCGCTAAAACTCGAGAACGGCTGAACGGATTTTTCTTATCTTAGTCTTCAAATGTTCGTGGAGCTTCAGGGAAGGTTTAAAAGGTGAGAAAAAATCGAAAACCGCAAAAAATTGCGAAAAAATATTATGAAGCATATTTACATTTCCACGAATTTAGTATCGAGCTATTATGATTGCACCACGTCGTAGTTGTTATTTTGGGATATTTGGGCAAAAATTGATAGCGTATCAATCCTTTAAGCCTTCATTTGTCAATTGTTGAAAATTTTGATTTTTTCCAATTTGATTAACATTTTATTGAAACGTTTTTTGTGAAAATTCAAAAAATAATTGAGAATATATCATTGAATGTACACGCGATCATTGTATGTGCACGTTGTCCATAGAATGCACGTACATTTTGGGACAAATGCAAGGATGAAAATCAGAAGATATTCGCAATAGTTTTGATTCTAAGATCCATTCCCTAGATCATTTTTTCTTAAAATATGAATAGTAATAGTTCAATAAGGACACGTTGTTCTTTAAAGTACTTAAAATGTTGCTATGGCATTATATGGTTTTTATATGCCTAATCGTTGGTCAATGCCTCTGAACTCATAAACACAACACCTCGCATATATCCAATACCACAAATGTGTATCACAGAGAAAACTAATATACGATGTCATTTTCTGTGAAAAATTCATTAAGTATATATCAAAAAAACAAGTGATGTTTTTTTCGTATTGAACCTGTGACTATAAAATTGCAAATACCTTAATATATCAACTAAACTTAAACTTAAATCTAATTTTTCATATCTTCTAATATGTAGATTCCTTAAATTGGTCGGGATATTTATATGGGAACAATGTTACAACACTATGTGATAGTAGGTTGCCCATGCTCTTTAAAAATAATGTACAGACACTCAGGTTGGAAAAAGGGTTAAGAACTTCAAATATGTATGGCGCCTTTTTAATACTTTAGACCAACTCTATGAGAAAATTTGGACCAAATAAAACATTACTACCACTTTGGTTCACACACTGGAACCAACTCCCCAAAATACCGAATATTTTGGGTACCGTTATATGGGAGCTACCTCAAAGAGTGGACCAATATAGATACTTTTAGTATGATTCATTCTACCAAATAAAACAACCAAATACCAAATTACTGCCGATTAGATTTAAAAATTATATGAGGGATATTTGGAAGCTTGGGCGAATAAAAAATTTCAGCCAAATACCGAATATTAAGGGATATATATGGGAGCTATCCGAATACTTGGGTCAATATTGATATTATTAATTAGGGAGATTTTCTGCTCTATAAGTATAGCTAATATAAAATTAGAAGCAATAACAATACATATGGGAATGAATATTGGGGGTACCGTTATATGGAGGCTACCCTTTAAAGGGAACCAAATGTTAATATAATAAACTATCATATAAGTAGAACGCCGAAAATTATACATCAACAATATTGCTAGGCAAGACAACGTTTGCCGGGCCCGCTAGTAATATATACATTACTACTATTATGCCGAGGAACCTTGGGTGACCATACCAGAGTCGACGGTTTTTCAATATCTTATGTTGAATGCTTCTATTACATTGTTTAATTGTTAAAGAATATTGTAAAGAATATTGTTTATGGTTCAACAAACAGAACACTTGTTCAAGAATATTTTGTTGAGGTTCACTAAACCTATGATTTTTAAAATAATATTTTTTCTAGGTTGACAGATTAGTTTAAGACAATTTTTCAAGGGCACCAGAGACGAGATTTGTTTAAGAAAATTGTTTAATGTCCAAACATATTTTTTAACGGTACATCAGAGCTACGATTTGTTGACAACTGGTCTCTTTACTCGAAGACATGTGGTCTCTTTGGTTCATTAGAGGTCGTATAGATCCCTCAATCTTTTGTTGTTGTTGTAGCAGCCCTACGAGGTCAGATCGGAAAGTTCTTAGACTAGCACATAAAGCGTGGTATAAACAGAAAAAAGTTAAGCGTTTAGGAAACTTCCATCTCTGTTATGGACACATGTTAAATTTCGTATCGATCTGGCAACTCCTTCATATAGAAACAGGTGTTCAAAAAACACACATCCGAAATTTTTTACAATTTAGAAATTAGAAATGCCTGCTTCCATTGTAAAAAAATTGTGGATGCTTCTTTTTTTGAACACATGTTCTATATGAGGAAGTCACCAGATCGAAACAAAATTTAACATGTGTTCATAACAGAGGTGGAAGTTTCCAAAATACTTAACTTTTTTCAGTTTATACCGCGCTTTTTGTGCTAGGCTAAGAACTTTCCGAACTGCCCTCGTATTGTTTTTACACAGGCTGGGGTGACAGAGTTTTCCCATATTCTTCTCTATGTGTCAGACCACCCCATGAAAAGCAGTATCCACGGATTTTCCTTTGATGTAGGCCTGTTGGGATGAGCTAATCTTGTTCAAATGAGGTCTAGTTAACATTCCAGATTCTTCAGGAGAAAGAAAGAAAGTCTAATCGGTCTATAATACTTAGGTAGCTTGTGACTCGGCTTTCGACCCGACCAACACACGATCATCTGCATGCTGCTAACAATATCGAAATGCTGTAACAGGGTCGGAATCAATAGAGATTCTAAAATATTGCTAAAGGGCGAAAGAAAACAAATCGAGCGATAGGATTCCCAATAGGAGTGGATTCTTGAGTAGAAAGAATGAAAGGATAATCGATCTACAATCCTTAGGTAGCTTGTGACCCGGCATTCGGCATGAAGATTACAGTTACCTATTTCCATAGGCTTGGTATGTACGATAAAATCAGGCAAGCTCTAAAAACCCCCTGTAGTGTGCCCAAGAGACGATCATCTGTATGCTGCAATGAGGCATGTTTGTGGCTAGCAAAATCGATATTCTATTTGAGGGTCGGAAGGATTAGAGATTCTAAAATCTTGCTTACTGGTGAAAAAAAATCGAGCGATAGGAGTTCCAATTAGCAATAATCCGGACAACTATCCAAATTTGAGGATTTTGGTCTGATAATTCAACTCTATTTTTTAACATGAACATGGAAATGTCGTCTGGACCAAGGGCTTTGGATGGATGGCTATCATAATTTATTGGTCATATAACCTCATTTTTCGAATACACATTTTAAATACAAGAATTTGCCTTACATTTTTAATTAACTATTTTTTGCTACTAATAATATTATAAACGAAACTTTATTTTTCTTCATTTCAGGTCATATGTTTATCGGAATATGATTATTTTCTCAAATTTTATAAACGTTTACAAAGGAAACTTAATATCAAACCCCCCAAACCGGTTAAGTGAATGAATTTAACAAAGAGCATGTATGTTTCGGCGGTTATGATTGCTTGTAAAAAAATAAAGAATTTTAACATGATTAAATATGAACGCATTTTATTATTAATTTACAGATGAATTAAAACAAAAAACAGTGGAGAATGCAAATAAAGATCAACTCACCTCGATGGGAAAATATTTTTTGTTAATTCTTAAAATATCCTTTTTCAATTTATTCATTACGTTTTTGAAATATTAAAAATAGATCTGAGCTAGGATCGCGTAAAAGTGCAAAAGTTCTTGGCATTGGAGACCCTATCTAAAAATAAAATACCTTAATAATTCCACGCCTTGATTAGGCCTTGAAAAAATACTTAAATAATTCCACGCCTTGATTAGGCCATGAAAAAAATACTTAAATAATTCCACGCCTTGATTAGGCCATAAAAAAATACTTAAACAATTCCACGACTTGATTAGGCCATGAAAAAAATATTCTTTTAAAAATCCACGCCTCATATATGCCTTAAAAATATTCTTTTAAAAATCCACGCCTCATATAGGACTTAAACAAATATTCTTTAAAAAATCCACGCCTCATATATGCCTTAAAAATATTCTTTTAAAAATCCACGCCTCATATATGACTTAAACAAATATTCTTTAAAAAATCCACGCCTCATATATGCCTTAAAAATATTCTTTTAAAAATCCACGCCTCATATAGGACTTAAACAAATATTCTTTAAAAAATCCACGCCTCATATATGCCTTAAAAATATTCTTTTAAAAATCCACGCCTCATATAGGACTTAAACAAATATTCTTTAAAAAATCCACGCCTCATATATGCCTTAAAAATATTCTTTTAAAAATCCACGCCTCATATAGGACTTAAACAAATATTCTTTAAAAAATCCACGACTTGTGTAGGTCCCTGAAAAAATATTCTTTAAAAAATCCACGCCTTGTGTAGGTCCCAAAAAAATATTCTTTAAAAAATCCACGCCTTGTGTAGGTCCCTAAAAAAATATTCTTTAAAAAATCCACGCCTTGTGTAGGTCCCTGAAAAAATATTCTTTAAAAAATCCACGACTTGTGTAGGTCCCTGAAAAAATATTCTTTAAAAAATCCACGCCTTGTGTAGGTCCCTGAAAAAATATTCTTTAAAAAATCCACGCCTTGTGTAGGTCCCTGAAAAAATATTCTTTAAAAAATCCACGCCTTGTGTAGGTCCCTGAAAAAATATTCTTTAAAAAATCCACGACTTGTGTAGGTCCCTGAAAAAATATTCTTTAAAAAATCCACGACTTGTGTAGGTCCCTGAAAAAATATTCTTTTAAAAATCCACGCCTTGTGTAGGTCCATGAAAAAATATTCTTTAAAAATCCACGGCTTGTGTAGGTCCCTGAATAAATATTCTTTTAAAAATTCACGCCTCATAAAGGCATTGAAAAAATATTCTTTTAAAAATCTACGCCTTGCTTAGGCCTTGAAATAATATTCTTTTAAAAATCCACGCCTTGCTTAGGCCTTGAAAAAATATTCTTTTAAAAATCCACGCCTTGCTTAGGCCTTGAAAAAATATTCTTTAAAAAATCCACGCCTTGCTTAGGCCTTGAAAACATAATCTTTTAAAAATCCACGACTTGCTTAGGCCTTGAAAAATAATCTTTAAAAAATACACGCTTTGCTTAGGCCTTAAAAGAATATTCTTTAAAAAATCTATGTTTTGTGTAGGTCCCTAAAAAAATATTCTTTAAAAAATCCACGCCTGGTGTAGGTCCTTAAAAAATATTCTTTAAAAAATCCACGCCTTGTGTAGGTCCCTTGTGTAGGTCCCTGAAAAAATATTCTTTAAAAAATCCACGCCTTGTGTAGGTCCCTGAAAAAATATTCCATAAAAAATCCACGACTTGTGTAGGTCCCAGAAAAAATATTCTTTAAAAAATCCACGCCTTGTGTAGGTCCCTGAAAAAATATTCTTTTAAAAATCCACGCCTTGTGTAGGTCCCTGAAAAAAAATTCTTTAAAAAATCCACGCCTTGTGTAGGTCCCTGAAAAAATATTCTTTAAAAAATCCACGCCTTGTGTAGGTCCCTGAAAAAATATTCTTTAAAAAATCCACGCCTTAAAAAAAATATTCTTTAAAAAATCCACGCCTTAAAAAAAATATTCTTTAAAAAATCCACGCCTTGTGCAGGTCCCTGAAAAAATATTCTTTAAAAAATCCACGCCTTGTGCAGGTCCCTGAAAAAATATTCTTTAAAAAATCCACGCCTTGGTCTTGAATATATACTCCTCCAAAAAATCCACTCTAATGGGTTTCACACTTCCATGGTTCCTGGGAAATATAATATTTATCAAACACTTTTGCCTTTTAATATTTTCATAATATATTTACATATTTATTTGTTTGTTTTTGTTTTTCAATTTATATAATAAATACAAATTTTGTTATTCCAAAAGAATAGGCGAGTGATGGAATTATTGTTAATTATTTGAAAAAAAGAATCGAAATATATTAATGAGGTAAAAATAAAAACATAATCCATTGAAATGCTTAATATTGGAAGATTTTAAAAAGAAAACTAAAATTAAAACATGAATTAGCGGCAGTGAAATAGAAGCTAATTAAAAACCAATACACAAAATTACAAACTAAACAGACAATATCAGAAAAATAACTACATAAATTAATAAGAGAAAAAAAAACTAAACATAGAAAAAAGGTGGAAACCATGTGCTTGGAATATAGAGTAACTTGTTACCATATACGCACACAACGATGACAACATTTCAATTCATAAGTAATTGAGCCATTAAATTGTTATCATCTACATTGGATGATGAAGAGGCAGCATGTAGACCCGGACCACTTTCTAAAAATTCACGTAATTCATTTTCCAAATCACCACTGGTGTTGGCACCCACATCTTCATCAATGTCCATGGACAGAGCATTTGATAAATTGTGTTGATCCAGATTGTTGCCACTCGCCGAGCTGTTGCTAGTTGCTGCTGTATTGGACGGTTGAGATTGTTGTTGCTGCTGCTGGTTTGTGTTGGTGGCGTTAAAGCTTAGGGGCGGTAATGATACCGGTTGCTGCAAAATGGCGGGTACAGGAATACGTTGCTGTGGCTCGGGAGGTGGTGGTAAACCAACTGTGAGCAGAAACAAATAATTAATTTAAATCTCTAAAATTATTTTTAAATCAATAGAAACATACCATATGACATGCCCATTGCCCTACGCAAGGCATATGGATCTGCCACCGCCGAGGGTGGTAATTTCTTTACCGCCTCCGTTAGATGCTGGCTAACTTGATGCGCCAATTGTGTCTCCTCCTGTGATGGCTGTTGCACCAAACCCAAATGATGCGGCAATGGCTGTGACAACCTTTCATGTTGGGTATTCTTTAGCTTATCAATTAAATTTAGATTATTGCTAAGATGCTCCTGCAATCTTCGTGTCAATTCGAAATTTTTCATTTCCTTTTCAATATCATTTAAGAATGTTGTATCAATACCCAGATCCTGCAGTGTCCGCAAACGATTAAAATCAATTCGAGTATTTTTATATTTTTCATATTCCTGCTCAATCTGGGCCCGAGAATCATGTGGCGAGGGCGATGAGCTACTACCCAACAATAGGGGTCCGGCATTTGTGAAACATTTGAGGGCTTCTTGTTGTTCATAGTTTTGTACTTGTAGATCGTATAGATCTTGCATGCATTTGGAATGTTCGCCATTGGTTAGAGCATCCAAGAGGCCATTTGCCAACATTGTGGCATACGACGAATCTTTGGTAAATTGTAGAATACTTTCAGCATATTCAGTACTTAGAGCATCACCATAAGTTTCCATAACCAATTGGGTTTCATCTTTGTTGAGGGTGGAGAAACGTGAATCGAATGTGGGGGCGAAGGAGGAGAAGGGTCCATAGTTGAGGGGTTTCACTAGCTTTGCTTCGTTGCGCTTATCTTCACGATAACCTTGTACTTGACCAGAACCTTGTTTAAGTTTACCAACCAAATCGCCAAGACACACCACCTTTTCGGGACCCTCATTTTCATCTTTGATGAGAAAGTTGAGCGAAGTGGTGCCATCTTTATTTTGCCTTAAGAAACCCATTTTATGGGCCTTCTCCTTGGCTGATAAGCGTTTTTTGGCTGCTTGTGCTGCTCCCTGCACCTGGGCCAATATCTCTTCGGAGGTTAAATCATCAACGTAGGGCTCAAACCGCGTTTTGGGTTCATTAGCCAATCGTATGGCCTTTCGTTTTTCCTCCTCCTCAATTTGCGCCTGGGTCATTGGCTCTTCGGCACATGTGGAGGCACCCTCATCAGCCGAATCGATCATACCATGATGATCGAATCCAGCAAAATCTCCACTATGGTGGATCAAATCAAAGCCCAATTCCTTGGCGGTTAGATCCCGTAAATAACCAGAGGTGGGTTTAAGACTTCGCATTAAATTATCCGGCGAAAGATGTTTCATGCCAACTTGGAGTAATCGCTTGGCAGCCTTATGATAGACAGTGTCGACACGATTGTAACGTATGGCATTATCACACATTAAGCGGAAATCCTCTGTGAATTCCTGTAGGGTACTGTATTCATTATCATCGATTTTTTGACGCATTGTAGAGAAATCCATGGGTCGTGATATAACCTTCGAATATCCTGGGGCAATATCATCTGTAACTGGCCAGGCAAAAAATTGATGTGGATCACGTTTCTCCAGGCCGCGTAGTAGGTGCTCTAATAGTTTATTCAATGAGGTTTTTTGTTGTTTCATTTTAAGGACACAGCTTCGTGGTTCACGACCCGATTCACTTGATGAGCTGGGTGTGCGTGGACCCTCCAGCATTTTGGGTGTCAAATTCGAGCCACCTGGTGTTGTGTCCGAGGCGAAAGGTGAAAATGAGGGTATTGTGAGCTGCGAAAAAAGGAATAGTTAGAAATTCTTCTCCATAAAATTGAAAAATGTATTTACTCACCTCCGACAATGGCTTAGTTGGACTAATACCACCCACCATACTACTATTACCCGCACCGATGGGACTGGCAGCAACAGTTGGTGTTGCCGCCGCACTTGACGGCCCAGCATTACTTTCTCCCTCCGCCATTGCGCTAGCTGCCACATTTCCCACCGATGTTGTGCTCTGCATTGTCGACGATGCTGCCGAATCTTGCGACACCTCATCCACCAATTTCATTGGCACTATGGGTTTCGAAACCGGTCTACTGGCCGGTGAATTCTCCGTTGTAATACCCGCATAGAGCAGCACATTTTCCGGCAGTGGCTGTGATGTCTCATCATCCATAAAACTAAAACCATCCTGACTACTATCACCGTCTGCCATTACCGACGACGAAGGCATTAGATTTGAAGGCGGCCCTGCCGCACCCAATTTAGGGCTGCGTTGCTGTGACAAACTGAACGAAGTTGCCGGCAATGATTGTGAATCTTGATTGGCAATTAATGTCAAATCTTCGGTACGTTCCATAGATGAAGCATCCCGCCGGGGACTTTCGTCGACTGCATGCCTTTCGCCCTTATCACGTTTCTTCTCCTTGTGATGTTTGTGTTTCTTCTCACGATCTTTCTTCTTCTTCTTTTTCTTCGACTTCTTATGTTTTTCTCGATGTTCCTCGAAATCTTCCATACCCAAGGGACTGCTACACATTGCCTCAGCTGCTGTCGGCGGACCGGCTACGGTGGATGTAATAATATCTGCACATCCACTACCACCGCCATATTCGGGAGTATTATTGGGGCCAACTTTCAGAATTAACTTTAGGCCTCTTTGTAAATTAGCAGGATCATTGCTGTGGCTATATTCTGCAAATGGAAACAATAACAACAACAATTATAATATTCTTACATTTGTTGGCATTTTACCGCTGCTGCGGCGGCGGCAAAATTTGCTACCGTGTTCTGTGTTACTGACCTTCATATTTCTCCCTTCGTTCCAACTTGTGTTTCTTGTGCTTTTTGGAGGAACCCATTTTGTAGCTTCTCTGTTCGGCTTATTTTCCTATTTTACACACACCAATTTTCTCTTCAATTCCTTTGAAATTGAAAGAAAGAAAATCTTTTGCTGTTTGTTTCACAAGCAAGCACTGGAAATGATGCCAAACAAGCTAGGGTATCATAGGTCGATTATTTACTAATCGATTAATCGACTCCTTTTCGAGTATTAGTAAAACCGATTTAATTAGAAATTATTTTCGAATTGTAGGAAAATCAATTAATTTTATAATTGTTGTTGTAATTATCCGATCAAGGCAAAGACTAGTTAACGTTTTTTTATAGTGTGCCGGCTGGCGGCAAATATTTGTATTTAGGGATGCGTAGGTCGATTATCAACTTATCGATAAGTAAAATTCGTCAACTACACTTGTGATACAGCCCTGTTATTGTTTGTGCTTAAGCATTGTTGTCGTTGTAGCGTTATTTGTGTGAAATATTTGTAAAAAATCGCCATTTATAATTTACTAAAACAATAAATAAATAATGTTTCAAAAGTGTGTCGAAAATATGACATTATTGGTTCAAAGGTTTTAAATTTATAAAGGAAAATAAACCATGAAATATGTTCAGGTATATATTAATATACGATTCATTGTACAATTATTCAAGGTATAGCAACTTATAAATATTATTTTTATCATATTGTGGCTTGTAATCCCAAAGTCGTTTACAAAATGTGTGACAGCGTGTGTGATGTTTTGAAAACTATAGAAAAATGTATTCTGAAATCCATTTGCTTAAAGATGAATTTTAGAACATTGGTAAGAAGAAATATATGATTTGTGAATGAATAAATATGTAATTCATATTCCCAAATCGTTTTTGAAAAGAAACACTGGCATTCCATTTATTTTTGGCGTTTTATGGTAAAATATTACAAGTACGTAAAATGAACAGAACGACTTGTTGCATTTGTTCTTATTAATTCTGACATTAAAGCCCAGATACCCTACCTTTTATAATTTTACCATGCTTTTAGGTCCAATACTCAATGTAATATTGGGCCTGTTCCCGTACCTCAAGAATCTACTACTTTTTCTAATTATTATTATTAATTTATTTACTTCAAAGCTAAGCCTAGATGCATCTGGCACTTAACAAAGTTTAACAAAAAGCCATATATCTCTTAATGCAGATTTACAATCATGGACAGCTCTAGAATTTGTAGTCCACGATCTGATTGCTTAAAGTGCCGCTTGACTTTCGACAATTATAGTCGACAGTACCGAGTCACTACTACACAAGCGGCTGAAGATTTCTGATCGCATTTAAAGCAGAAAGGGAAGTTCTTCTAGCACCGTATTTAAGACATGGACAAGAAGAAGTCATTATTTGTTGGTGAAAACAGGCTTGTATTTGAAACTATCTCGAATTAGCATAGGATTTCGAGTAAATCGCGATATGGATTGGATAAAATTGTGTATGGTAAATAGAGGTAATTTGAGTTCGATTTAACAATTAAATCGAGATAATGTAAATTATAACCATAAACGCTATCGTCTAAAAAACTCTAGTCTAAATTTTCTGACATGGCATAATTAGTCCTGATTTATATTAGGCGAGTTTACTTGCGGCAATTTTTATCGTTCTCTTTTGAACTTGCTTCATGCGTCTATACAAGGCAATTCGGTTTCCAAAATATTTTTTATTTGTTGTTTTTTCACATTTAAATATATATAAAATGTCGGTACGAGCAGTTTTTTTTTCATTTCTATACCCCTTGCCCCTCTCTCCTACAAACAAAGACTTGCCGCAACTAAAACTCGCCTAATCTAAATTGAGACTTACAGAAGGTAGTCTCATTTGAGAAATTAATAATAGGTGTGTCTGGTTACTTTGCCAGTAACATTTACTCAGTAAGTTCTAGTTCAGAGAGTAAGCCGTTTTTACTCTCTTTGCGATAATACTGAGAAAAGTAAACAGACAACATTTAGTAAGATTCAGGAAATAAACAGCTGAGTCAAGAAAACATTTTTATTTTATTTTTTTTTGGTATGGTCGTGGATCAAGTTAAAATTCGGTATAAGTAGAGCTATAGCCCCTGATAACAACGATATAATTATTTTCTGCCGGAATCCTATGCTTCCTGATATATTGGCTTCCACAGCTCCGTTGGGGTCAATGTATTTTCAATTTCTTTCAAAATAGATTATGACAATATGTGCATCATTTTGATGCTGCTGTGGCCGTAAATACAATTACATACATATTTTACAGCAAAATTCGTTAGTATATTTAAATACTTAATAGTAAAATAGTAATAATAAAGGCAATTCTGTGTCGAAAACGGCTTTGGCATCTGTACATAGGAAAAGTCGTGTAGTCCATAACCACTAAAACTTTTTCAAAAATCTTGTTGATGTAGATCAGAACAATACCGTCAGCCTATATTTTTTGGATGAAAGTTAATTTCGAAACAAAAATAAACCTATGTTACCCATAGAATTCAATTATTAATATTCATACTAATATTGATAAGGGAATTATTTTTTCCACTTTCTAGATATTTGTATTACGCGAATTATCAAATGTTTTTATATGATTTTTTCTGTCAAAGTCATATATGGGGACATTAGGGCAATGGATGCAATTTTAACTTTTGAGCATCAGTAACTTGATAAATGTAGTAGACTTGACGCATAGGGATACGATACCGAATATTTTTCGTCGCAAATTTCATATTATTGAATCTCATGAATTGTTGTGCAAATCTCTCAAATCTTCAACATGTTGAAATTTTTGTTTCAAATTTGTGTTTAGTATATATTTTCTGAAACTGACAAATGTGTGTATGTATTCTTTTACATACATATATGGTCTGTTCCCGTACTCCAAGAATCTACTACTTTTTATTTCGATAACGACTTTTCCTTTATGATATCGAAGAAAATAGTAAAATCTAGTAGATTCTTGCAGTACGGGAGCAGACCAATAATGTTTGTCAAAAGCACTTTGACTATGAAGGGTTGTCAAAATAAAAAAAATGTTGATCATATGTGAGCATGAGATACCTTATTTATTGTATCATGACTTAACCCAATTTGACTCAATTATGTTCACTTGCGCCTAAAAACAAACTACACTTTTTTTATTTATTTAGCACAGATCTGAATCATCAGTGAACAAAACAAAACAACAATTTTAAATGGAGGGCATTTGCTTTAAATTAAAATCTAATATTGCATCCAAAATTGATTATAAATCATTTGCTATGCTATGTTTACATTAAAGTCATGAATTTGTATACAAATGGTTCGTTTATACGAATTAAAGACATTTTAAAAGAGATTTAAATTGTGCACTTAGTCGTTAGGTTTTACTGTAGCAAAGGAGCATTTAAATATTTTGATATATAAATTATTAGACAGCTACAAAAATATAAAAAATAAATAAATCTATTTCGTTATCAAAATTTTCTGTGAAAATTAATAAACAAAAATACAAAAAATTTAATAAAAATGGATCGATTAGATTTATCTAAAATAGTCGATAAACAAATACAGCGTTATTCGAAGTCGGACTATTTTAAATTAAAATATATAAAGGACAAACATAATGAGACCTCATTCCACAGGAAGCCGAAAGTGTCCGAGCACACCAATCCCTTTATTCAAGGGAAAATAAATGGAATTTTTGCACATGTCTATAATCAGCTAAAAGGTAAGCGGATAATGAGCCCTTTAATTAAATAATTTAATAAAAATATACACAACTTGACTTCCAGAAACTAAAACCAAGCCGTCATATATTAAACCACAGCTAAGGAAGTTCAATAAATACGAAATGGCAGTTTCCGTCAAACCCAATCCAACTGCAATTAAAGATCCAACAAAAAGTGCTGAAAAGACTACAAAGAAACCATCAACCATACCACGTTTGAAGGCTCTTTGCAATCAAAAAGAAAAGAAACGGCTTCACTGTTCGGTACCACCGGACGAAAATGCTAATAGTTATATAAGTCAAAAGCGATTAACCGATCTTAAACAGAAGAATGAGCTATACAGCTCAATGTTAGAAGATCAGCGGCAAATACAACAAGATCTCCGGATGATAACCCAAGAAACTTCCAGTGTGCGTAACAACCTGAAGGCATTTCGGGGACGTTTGGATGCTTCAATAAAGATATTAGCGCAAAATAAAACTGTTAAGAAACTAAATTTATTAGATGCACCGAAATAAATTGAATATATATTAAGAATTTTATAAAAACGTTCCACATAAGCGTGGATTTTTTAATAAATATTGTCTGAAGGTCCCGCAGTGGCGTGGATTTTTTACAGAATATTTTCTAAAGGTCCAAAAGAGGTATGGATTGTTTAAAGAATATTTTCAGAAGATGACAAAGAATATTTTCAGAAGATGCCAAAAAGGCGTGGATTTTTTTAAGAATATTTTCAGAAGATGCCAAGAAGGTGTGGATTTTTTAAAGAATATTTTCAGAAGATGCCAAAGAGTCGTGGATTTTTTAAAGAATATTTTCAGAAGATGCCAAAAAAAGCGTGGATTTTTTAAAGAATATTTTCAGAAGATGCCAAAAAAAGCGTGGATTTTTTAAAGAATATTTTTCAGAAGATGCCAAAAAGGCGAGGATTTTTTAAAGAATATTCTCAGAAGATGCCAAAAAGGCGAGGATTTTTTAAAGAATATTCTCAGAAGATGCCAAAAAGGCGTGGATTTTTTAAAGAATATTTTCAGAAGATGCCAAAAAGGCGTGGATTTTTTAAAGAATATTTTCAGAAGATGCCAAGAAGGTGTGGATTTTTTAAAGAATATTTTTGAGAAGATGCCAAAGAATATTTTGGCGTTCATTTTAAATGTGTTCTACTGTTCTTTCGCTCTATTCTACTGTCAAAATGAAATAGTCTTCTAAAATAACAACAAAAATACCGTTAACTTACTAACAGTGGAATTGAAGATATGCAAATCATGTAACACTCAGACCACGAATAGAGGAGATAAACATTAAAAAAATTAACAAATGTATTAGTAAATAATAAAAATAATATATCAGCTATAATGGTCCTGATAAATTGTTATTTAATTTTCCTGATCATTCAAAATGTAAGTGATACAATATTCCGATATTTCAAAAATATTTCACATTTATTTTTTATGTTATTTTTTCTCTAGTGTTATGCCGAAATCCTACAACAACATCCACTGCCACCACTGCATCCATTTAGACCGGTCTGGTTTTCAGAACCACCGCCACCACCTCCGCCATGTCCACTGCATGCCTTTCCACTGATAAAACATATAGAGCAGGGTCCTCCTCCAGCACCACATGTCGTAGAAGAGGTAAAACCTCCTCAGAAGTCCACTCCAATTGATTTCAAAAAACCCTTTTTGGATATCGAAATCGAAGTTGAACGGAATATTTATGTTGTGCAAGATCCCATAGCAGGAGGTATTTTCATTCTCCACGGCCATGAATTATTTCAAATGTTTTTGGGCCATGAAGATAAACGTATCAGTTTAATGGGCTATTTGGGGGGAAATGTTGAAATTACGGAACCTTTGGGTGCCGAGGTAAGGACCTAAGGGGGAAATGAGAATATAAATTAATATTCCTTGTTTGTTCCAGATTATATCCTGGAAAGGATACTATTTATTGGCTGTGGTCTTGGATGAATATTTGGAGATATATCAGATACCAAAGGTCATTATTGAAAATCGTGCAAAATTGTTGAAGAAATCTCAACAGAATATGGGAGAGTCTCCGGTTTTCGAAGCTGTTCAACAATTAACGTTACATGGGCGATTTCAAAAACAATTTTTAATTTCCACGGAGGATAATGAAATTATGCTGATTGCCTCAACAACATCAACAAAACTTAATGGGAAAATTAGGTAAATATTCTTTAAAAAATCCACGCCTCTTTTAGGCCTTCCAAAAAATATTCTTCAAAAAATCCACGTCTCTTTTAGGCCTTCCAAAAAATATTCTTTAAAAAATCCACGCCTCTTTTAGGCCTTCCAAAAAAAATATTCTTTAAAAAATCCACGCCTCTTTTAAGCCTTCCAAAAAATATTCTTTAAAAAATCCACGCCTCTTTTAGGCCTTCCAAAAAATATTCTTTAAAAAATCCACGCCTCTTTTAGGCCTTCCAAAAAATATTCTTTAAAAAATCCACGCCTCTTTTAGGCCTTCCAAAAAATATTCTTTAAAAAATCCACGCCTCTTTTAGGCCTTCCAAAAAATATTCTTTAAAAAATCCATCTTCTTTAAAAAATCCACGCCTCTCTGTTAGGCCTTGAAAAAAGTCTTCTTTAAAAAATCCACGCCTCTTTTAGGCCTTCCAAAAAAAAAAAAATCTTTAAAAAATCCACGCCTTTTTTAGGCCTTCCAAAAAAATATTCTTTAAAAAATCCACGCCTCTTTTAGGCCTTCCAAAAAAAATATTCTTTAAAAAATCCACGCCTTTTTTAGGCCTTCCAAAAAAAATATTCTTTAAAAAATCCACGCCTCTTTTAGGCCTTCAAAAAAAAAAAAAATTTTAAAAAAATCCACGCCTCTTTTAGGCCTTCCAAAAAATATTCTTTAAAAAATCCACGCCTCTTTTAGGCCTTCCAAAAAATATTCTTTAAAAAATCCACGCCTCTTTTAGGCCTTCCAAAAAATATTCGTTAAAAAATCCACGTCTCTTTTAGGTCTTCCAAAAAAAAAAATCTTTAAAAAGTCCACGCCTTTTTTAGGCCTTCAAAAAAATATTCTTTAAAAAATCCACGCCTCTTTTAGGCCTTCCAAAAAATATTCTTTAAAAACTCCACGCCTCTTTTAGGCCTTCCAAAAAATATTCTTTAAAAAATCCACGCCTCTTTTAGGCCTTCCAAAAATATTCTTCGAAAAAATCCACGCCTCTTTTAGGCCTTGCAAAAAATATTCTTCGAAAAAATCCACGCCTCTTTTAGGCCTTGCAAAAAATATTCTTTAAAAAATCCACGCCTCTTTTAGGCATTCCAAAAAAATATTCTTTAAAAAATCCACGCCTCTTTTAGGTCTTCCAAAAAATATTCGTTAAAAAATCCACGCCTCTTTTAGGTCTTCCAAAAAAAATTCTTTAAAAAATCCACGCCTCTTTTAGGCCTTCCAAAAAATATTCTTTAAAAAATCCACGCCTCTTTTAGGCCTTCCAAAAAATATTCTTTAAAAAATCCACGCCTCTTTTATGCCTTCCAAAAAATATTCTTCGAAAAAATCCACGCCTCTTTTAGGCCTTGCAAAAAATATTCTTTAAAAATTCCGTATTTTTATTTTCAGAACCTTTAAATGGAAGGAGGATAGTTTTGAATCAATCCAGGAAATTACCACACCCTTATTAAACCTGATAAATGGTATTGGCTCTCAAAGAAAATATCTTATTACTGGCAGGTCCATTAAACAGCAAACCAAGGTAAGAAGTCCCATCGAAGACATACATCCTAAATTACTCATAACTACCTCATACCCTCCCTTTAGACGATGATCAATATTTATGAAATCGAACCGACTTTCTTGCAACTAAAATTGAGACAAACCTTAATGGTGGATTCTCAAGTGGTTCACAGCGCAACGTTCCAGGGCCACAACCTAATTTTGATGTGTTCCAAAAAACCTCCCAAATGTTTTAAATATTACCAAAATCGCAATGGAGATTTTGAAATCTCCAAACAGGGTTCGCCGGAAAAGTTACCCTTTGACCATTTCAAGTCGAATGCGGATTTCATATTGTCCTCGTATCAAAATCGCGTTATGATATTCACCGATCATTATTTAGATTGTTATGGAAGTTTCACCTCGGATATAGAGACAATTTCGGGATTGATGGCCTACAAGGGACCTCGTGGAGAAAGGTATATTTTGTTGTTGTTTAAAACACCATTTAAATTGTTGCTGCGAACCGTGGAAATTGAGTTGGGTGAAAAATTCCGAATGCCTCGGGCCAGTGGAGGTAAGTACTTAAACCTTCTTCATATTTTCAAAAGTTATCATTTTTATTCTCAGAAAATGAACCCAGACAACTACTGGTATCCCTGACGGAACAGCTCAGAAGTTTCCTACCCGAACGTAGAGAAAATATATTCCGAGATTTCTTTAATCCACAGCGACGAACGAACTCCGAGCCGAATATCTATCAACGAATCTCGGATATGTTTTCATCCTCCGCAAGAAGTGAACAAGCGGAAGAGAGGTCGTCAAACCCTATTACGGATATTTTGAATCGTTTCACACGAGTGAGGGGTTCAAGACCAAGACAGCAGCAAAGAGCTGGTTCTATACCCAGTATTATTAGGGATATGATGGGCATGGTACAGCAGTCAAGTCCAAGAGAAAGGACACAATCTTCAGGTGGTTCCATTAGTAATTTATTTCGTTCAATAACTGGTGCCATTAGACCCAGAAGGACGGCGCAAATGGCCAGACCTCTCAGCTGGAATTCGGGGAAGGTTAAGAAAATAGAAATTCTCAATCCGAAGTTAAGAAGTCCTCAAGAGATAATGGCCAGAGTTCAGGAAATCAAAGACACATATTTACAGGGCAAAGGAATTCTGCGAGAAACACGAGCCGATAACAAAGGTCCCTTATCGATAACATTGGATGTGGGGAAACATATCAAAGCGAAGAAGGTGAAGGTGCAGAATTTAATCTATTCGGGAGAGGTTATGAAAGGTAAAAAAGAATCCTATATCAATCAAACATAAAATAAACCATTTTTCCTCCAGGCTTTTTTCACAACAAGACCTCCCACACACTTCGTATAGAGCCGAGGATCAAAACCCAACAGCTAAATGTTACCGAAATTGTGCAACCCTCAAATGTCAGGGGTACACGACAATTTGTGCCAGATTTATATTATGGACTAACACCATCGATTCGTGCAAAACATTTGCGAGTCGAGGCAATAAATGGTGTTCCGTGGTCGGAATTTTATGAATCGATATTTTTGAAAAATCGTGATGCAGAAATCCAGGGGAATTTGGTATTTGAATCGGCGATGGTGGAGGTTCAACATTTAAAAACCACAAAACTGAATCATTTTGTGGTGGATCAGCTTTTCAATATGCGACAGCCTCAGGTTGTAAATTCTCAAATTTCGATATCGAGATTTTTTGTGCGAGAACTGGAAGCTGAGACTGTGAACGGCTTGAAATTTGAGGAAGATATTGTCTTCAGCGGTAGAGATGTCTATGTGGAAAGTAAGTTTTTTGAAAAAGAGATATATACTCGGGGTCCAAAAGAGGCGTGGATTTTTTAAAGTACATTTTCTCAGGATCCCAAAAGAGGCGTGGATATTTTAAAGTGGCCTGTTAGAGAGGCGTGGATTTTTTAAAGAGGCCTGTTAGAGAGGCGTGGATTTTTTAAATTTGCGGGTCCCAAAAGAGGCGTGGATTTTTTAAAGTACATTTTCTCAGGATCCCAAAAGAGGCGTGGATTTTTTAAAGTACATTTTCTCAGGATCCCAAAAGAGGCGTGGATTTTTTAAAGTACATTTTCTCAGGATCCCAAAAGAGGCGTGGATTTTTTAAAGTACATTTTCTCAGGATCCCAAAAGAGGCGTGGATTTTTTAAAGTACATTTTCTCAGGATCCCAAAAGAGGCGTGGATTTTTTAAAGTACATTTTCTCAGGATCCCAAAAGAGGCGTGGATTTTTTAAAGTACATTTTCTCAGGATCCCAAAAGAGGCGTGGGTCATTTTCTCAGGATCCCAAAAGAGGCGTGGATTTTTTAAAGTACATTTTCTCAGGATCCCAAAAGAGGCGTGGATTTTTTAAAGTACATTTTCTCAGGATCCCAAAAGAGGCGTGGATTTTTTAAAGTACATTTTCTCAGGATCCCAAAAGAGGCGTGGATTTTTTAAAGTACATTTTCTCAGGATCCCAAAAGAGGCGTGGATATTTTAAAGTAAATTTTCTCAGGGTCCCAAAAGAGGCGTGGATTTTTTATAGAAAAATTTCAAAGGACCAAAAGAGGCGTGGATTTTTTAAAGTACATTTTCTCAGGATCCCAAAAGAGGCGTGGATTTTTTAAAGTACATTTTCTCAGGATCCCAAAAGAGGCGTGGATTTTTTAAAGTACATTTTCTCAGGATCCCAAAAGAGGCGTGGATTTTTTAAAGTACATTTTCTCAGGATCCCAAAAGAGGCGTGGATATTTTAAAGTAGATTTTTTAAATAAAAATTGTTAGAGCATTCAAAAGACCTAATTTTTTAGAAAATATTTTTTGGGGTCCTTAAGAGGTCTGGATTTTTAAAGAATATATTTGGGATCTTTAAGAGGCCTGGATTTTTAAGGAATATGTTTTGGGTTTCTTAAGAGGCCTGGATTTTTTAAAGTAGATTTTCTCAGGGTTCCAAAAGAGCCGTGGATTTTTTTAAGCTGATTTTTTCAAGGTCCCAAAAGAGGGATGGATTTTTTAAGGAATATTTTCTCAGGGTCCCAAAAGACGCATGGATTTTTTAAGAAATTTTTTCTAAAGCTCTTCGATTTTTTTCCTCTTTTTTAGCTCCCGTTACCATGCACCACTTGAGCATATCCGGCGACCTAATTGTAGCGGATAAAAAAATCGAACGCCAAAATCCCGATGAAATGGAATTTAAACAATTCTATACAAAAAAGGTGATAATTAATGGAACTTTGGTATTGGCGAATGTAAGGCGGGACAAGAAGAACGAAAGTAAAATCATTATTGGCGGGGAAGAATTCAACGAAGAGGCAATTAGGGAAAATTATTTATTGAGGAGCGAGGAACAGGTAAAGAAGCTCCCCAGGTGTTTTAAAAATAAATCGAAAATAATTTTGAACTCTTTTTTTAGAATTTCAAATTTCCAGTAATATTTGATAATGGTAAAGTGGTGGCGCCCAACTTGCAGACAAGTTATTTAAATGATCACCTCACCGAGGAACATTTGTTGGTGAATAAGGTAAATGCCTCGAAGCCTTTGCTGTTGGTTTTTATGAAAGCTGAGGTACCCGGTGATGTTGTGTGCCGTGATTATAAATCCAAATTGGCTGAGATTGCGGAGAATATTATACGGCCAGGAGATGTGGCTTTGTTGGTGGGGAAGAAACACTTCAGCGCACCCTTGGCCACAGATGAATTGGTGACCTCGAAGCTAAATGAAATTCCCGTTGATGATTTGGTATTTAAACCGGAATTGGTAACCGCTGTGAAATTTCAAGATCTCAAGGTCTTCCAAAAAATTATTGTGCGTAATCCTTGCTTTGTCGAAAAGGGTATTGAGGCAATGAATTTGAATAATTTACCCTTGGAAGATTTGCTGAATTATGATTATCATATGGATTATATATCGGTCTCGTATACCCTAATGGCTTCGAATATTGTGTTCCATAAAATCAATGGCATACCCTTCGATGATTTCTTTACGAAGTTGAATGTTGAAAAAGATCAGCTGATTTTGCGTAAGGACCTAATTGTGGAGGGTAATGTGTTGTTTGCGGAACCCTTGGAATTGAAATATATTAACGAATTGGAATGGAATACGTATGTTGGGAATTTGGTGCGTAGTCATGAATCAGCTGTTATCGAGGGGAACATATGTTTTGTGTCCGATTTAATTATACAAGAAGAGCTATCCGCCGCTGAGGTTAATAATTACGATTTACAAAATATTTTCAATAATATTTTGCTTAAAAGTAAACCTCAGCTTATAACGGGTCAGTACACCTTTAATAATGTGCAATTATCGAATGTGGATGTGTTATCGATAAATAACAAGGATGTCAGAGAGTTTGTTTATTTGTCTAAGGAACATACGGAATTTAAGGGTGATATTGTGGCGCCCAAGGTTGTGGTGAGGGGCAATTTAAAAGCTCCGCTGAAGGAGAATTTTAATTTTGTAAATCTATCCCAAAAACTGGAGAATATTAGCAAAAGAAAATGGCGTAATGTAAAGGTTATGAAACATTTGAAATGGAGCGCAATGCGATCGATAATGATAAATACCGATTATGAGTTATTGCGATATTTATATAAATATGCCGTGAAATCTAATCAGGATCAGGTTATAAGTGGTAATGTTAAATTGGTGTATCCAATTATCGATAACATGAAAACACGTTTGGCATTTCCCACAAATGTGGATTTGGAATTTATCGATAAAGATGCTTTGGATAGGAATGCCAATGAAAGCCAAACTATAAACGGTATGAAGTCATTCCTGCAGCCAGTTTTTATGGAACAAATGGTGGCCTTGGGAAATATTAATTCTCATATGGTAAATAATATCGATATTTTATTGTTGAATACTTCGCTATATCGTTTATCGAGTAAATTGCCCTTAAAAGGGCCTTTAAAGTTTGCGGAACCTTTAAATATAGGCCATATGTCTCTTAGGGGCTTATTAAATGGCATAAACACCTCGGGTATTTTTGAATTGAAGAATAACCACACCCTACCCCCCATAATGGCCAAACAATTATTTATCGATAACAGTGTTTGGCTAAAGAAAATCAATCACATGGATATGGAATATTTTTTGGAACAAAGAATACCTCTGCACGGTCCCGCATTGGAGGTATTTGGTTTTTTGACATTTGAAAATTTAATTATTAAAAATGCAGCTCTGTTGCAAAGTATCAACGGCATTGCTATCGATAATATGGTTTTTCGCCATAGTCCACATTTACAAACCATCACGGGTCATAAAAGTGTCAGTGCCTATTTGGAGTTGGCTGGTCCAGCTCATATTATGCATTTAAATGGTAAAGATTTAATGGAAATTTATCGTAACTCTTTGTTCCGGAATCGTAATTATCAATTCGATAATTTAGTTATCGATAGGGTGACATTTGAAAAAGGGGTGAACATTTTAAATCCCCAAAGCAAACAGAGGTCATTTGATGACACCAACAATACAAATTTCGAAGTAGAAGTTGATTTCCAAGACTTTTTAAAAGTTATCGATAACAAATTGCAGATCAATTCCGGAGATATTTTGTATTTAGATTATGATATAAAAACGCATATCAAATGGCAAAAATCGAATGACACAGAGAACAAAGAAGGGGATATTTTAAAAGAAATTTCCCGCCTGTCCTGTTGTGAAAAGGAATTTTTAAAAATCTCCCTTCCCCCGAAGGGGAAACATGAAATACATTTAGAAAACATAACCTCAAATTGTTTATCGGCCTATCAAAATAATGTGGCTGTAAAGGTGGAAAATTATTGCAAATTAAAATATGGTAAAGTGAAATCGAAAATAACAATAAGTGCTGCCAAATTATTTAAAGTTTTTGGCATGAAACGATATGTAGAATCGATAAATATTATGTCAACCAAAACGATAAATCCCCCACAAGAAGAATTTATCATTCTACATGGTCTGGATTTACCCAGTCGTAAACGTAACGAAGTGCGTATATTTAAAATCGATTATCGCAATAATACCATCAACGATTGGCAGGGGTTGATCACAAATATTGGAGATCAGCTGATGGTTTTTCACACCTACCAGAAAACACTCTTACTCACAAATGGTCGGGTTAATAATCATCCCGCCTTGACGATATATCATTTTGATGAAACTCCACAGAAGTTTAAATTTCAGCAAATTATCGATGGTGATTATGATATTATCGAAATATTAGAATTTAATAATCGTACATCACATCAGCTGATACTTAGCTGTCAAAAATGTCATAAAATTTATATTTATGAACCCTCAGCCGGAGAAAATTCTTTCCATTATCAAATATTCCAAATTTTGTCACTGAAATCTCCAATTTTCAAAGCCTTTACATTTACGATAAAAACCGATAATTATCTTATGGTTATATTAGATGGTCAAGATAAGTCATATTATCATTTGTACAAATATTCATATATTCAGGGATGGGTCCATAAAACTTATGGGTATTATCCCAACATACAGATGGCAATACCAATAATCGATAATCGTTTAGAAATTGCAGGAAATTCCGATAATTTAGCTTTAATGATTCTATGTAACATCGATAATTGTCATTTAGTGAATGCTGTGGTGAGAAGATAATTATTAAAAATAAAAATGATTTGTTTATGTTATTTATTGTATATAAAAATAAAATATTTTTTAAGTTATTATCTATAAATTATTGTAAAATGTTATTTAAAAAATATAATTAATAAAAATTGGTAATAATTTATTTAAACAAATTGAAAGAAGAATATTTTGGAAGACTTAAAAGAGGCGTGGATATTTTAATCGAATATTTTTTTAAGGCCTAAACAAGGCGTGGATATTTTAAACGAAAAGTTTTTCAAAGCCTAAACAAGGTGTGAATTTTTTTAAACGAATATTTTTTCATGCCCTAATCAAGGCGTGGATTTTTTAAACGAATATTTTTTCAAGCCCTAAACAAGGCGTGGATTTTTTAAACGAATATTTTTTTAAGCTCTAAACAAGGCGTGGATTTTTTAAACGAATATTTTTTCAAGCTCTAAACAAGGCGTGGGTGGCGTAGGGGACGATAGATTCCAAGCAACGGCTCCGATTGGCTTTAATATGGCGAAGTCCAGGCTTATCATATTTCATCTCAATTGTGGACACTTCTTTCATCTCAATTGTGGACACTGACCTGGGCTGGCGTAAGTAAATCAGATGATTACGCCATGTATTATAGCTGCCATGAAACGTGACATGATTTTGGATGCGGATTTATGGTTAACAGGAGATGAGCGTAGATGAGCGAATTGCTATAATCCCTATAAAAGCGTAGTTCTTATACATCAGTCTCATATGCGCCCATGCTCCGACGGAAGACAAAGATGACCAAAGACATATTTTACGAGCGCCTAGAAACAGCATATGACCTGGCCATGACATTAAAATTCTGTTAGGAGATTTTTGATTTTATTTTTTTTTAAAACTTCTGGTATCAAATAGTAGCGGTGAAGAGGATACCCCAGAACCACCTATATACCACCTAGCCAAGATAAAGTCATAATAGCAATCAATCGGCTGAAGAATAATAAAGCAGCAGGTGCCGATGGGCTACAAGCCCAACTATTCAAGATGGCGGTCAGGTGCTGGTAAGGCGCATCCACCAGCTGATTAGTACAATTTGGCTAAAAGAATGCATGTCCAATGATTGGAATCTCAGCATCCTGTGTTCCGTGCACAAAAATGGAGACAAGACGATATGTGCCAACTATAGAGGAATAAGTCTCCTTCCCATCGTATATAAAGTGTTATCCAGCATACTGTGTGAACGACTGAAGCCAATGGTCAATCCCATTATTGGACCATACCAATGCGGCTTCAGACCTAGCAAATCCACCATTGACCAGATTTTCACTCTGCGCCAAATTCTGGAAAAAAACCCAGTCGTCGACTATAAAACCGCATTCGACAGCCCTATCCGTTCAGAAGTGTATAAAGCCATGTCTGCGTTTGGCATTCCAAAATTAATTCGGCTTTGCAGGATAACATTTACTCAGCACAAAATCGGCAGTTAAAGTCGGAAAGCACCTCTCGGAGCCCTTTAATACCGAACGAGGATTCAGACAAGGTGATAGTTTGTCGTGTGACCTTTTTAACATCCTGCTGGAAAAGGTCATACGAAGAGCAAACGTGAACAGAAATGGCACTCTGTACACCAAACAACACATGTTACTCGCCTACGCCGATAACATCGACATAATGGGTCGAACACTGAGAGCGGTAACAGCCACCTGTGAACAAATCGAGAAGGAGTCTGCCAAAGTGGGTCTGGCGAGAAGACCAAGCTGTTGGTATCAACGCGCTAGACTCGGACCAACTGTGGAACTTGAGAACTACAGCTTCAAGGTAGTCAAAGAGTTTATATACCTTGGTACCGCCATAAACAAAACGAATGACATCAGTTTTGAAATTCGGAGAAGGATAGTGATGTCCAACAGATGTTACTATGGTCTGAGCAAACAACTCAAAAGCAAGGCCACCTCCCGCCAGACCAAACTCACATTCTACAAGACGCTGATACTACCCATGCTGTTATATGGTTCTGAAGCATGGGTACTTGCGCAAGCAGATGAAGCAGCTCTTGGAGTGTTTGAGAGAAAAATTCTCCGAAAGATCTATGGGCCGATCTGCGTTGACGGTGAATATCGCCGTCGAATGAACCATGAGTTGTACAAGCTATTCTCGGACATCGACATTGTTAGACGTATTGAGCTGCAGCAACTAAGTTGGCTAGGTCATGTTTTGAGAATGGATGAAGATGTCCCAGCCCAGAAGGCATAACATTGCCGAATATGGTGTTTCAAATTGGAAAAACTGTGCAAAAGATCGACGCGCCTGGAAATATTTTTTAAGCTCGACTTATGGAACGAAAGTACTGTCACAAGCCAGCTAAATAAGTAAGTAAACAAGGCGTGGATTTTTGAGAGAATATTTTTTTAAGGCCTAAAAGAGGAGTGGTTTGTTTTAAAGATGATTTTTTCAAGGCCTAAACAAGGCGTGGAATTTTTAAAGATGATTTTTTCAAGGCCTAAACAAGGCGTGGAATTTTTAAAGATGATTTTTTCAAGGCCTAAACAAGGCGTGGAATTTTTAAAGATGATTTTTTCAAGGCCTAAACAAGGCGTGGAATTTTTAAAGATGACTTTTTCAAGGCCTAAACAAGGCGTGGAATTTTTAAAGATGATTTTTTCAAGGCCTAAACAAGGCGTGGAAGTTTTAAAGATGATATTTTCAAGGCCTAAACAAGGCGTGGAATTTTTAAAGATGATTTTTTCAAGGCCTAAACAAGGCGTGGAATTTTTAAAGATGATTTTTTCAAGGCCTAAACAAGGCGTGGAATTTTTAAACATGATTTTTTCAAGGCCTAAACAAGGCGTGGAATTTTTAAAGAATATTTTGTGAAGCTGTGGAATGAGCTTGGTTTTGTAACGAATATTTTGTAAGGCTCTAGAAGGGGCCCAGATGTTTAAAAGAATATTTTGTGAAAACCTAAAAAAGACGTGGATTTTTAAAAGAATATTTTGTGAAGTTCTAGAAGAGGAACAATATTTTAAAGAATGTTTTGTTAAGCTTTAGAATGGGGCCTAGATTTTTTAAAGAATATTTTTGAGGGTTTATCAGAACATTTTTTCTAAATGCACCCAAAGCAATAAACGAATAGTTTCTTTTTCATCATAACTTGAAATTATTTGCCTAATTTGTATCTTATCTTCCGCTTACTTTATTAATATATAAATATGTATATATTTTTTTAATCTTAACACATTTCTAAGAACCTTAGAACATCATCACTTCAAAAATTTATTTTTTATCTGTAAAAAAGTGCATTTAACGACTGGGAAACGAAAATTTTTGTCAACAAAGTTGTAAATATGGCAGGGGTGTGATATTTATATTTAGATTATACTAATCTACAAAAAAAAAAAAAAAAAAAATTATTTTATTTTTTTTTTTGCTTTTCAAAATCATGGAAATACCCCTCGTTGTTACTAGGAGGTCAAACTTTAGACGACACGAAAACCTCTCGTCTACCGATAAGATTTAAATTTTGAAATCTGATTAGAGTGCCATTTAGTTATCCAAATATTGTGTCATATTCAGAACAAGAAGTTCTGTATGTAAGCTTTCTGGTTTCCACTAATAACTCCCATATATTTAATGTCATATAACAAAGTGGCAGATGTTTCCGATTTCTTCGTCGGTTGTTTTTCAAATTCTTATCATAAAAATATAATTTTGGAAACTTCTTGATCCCCAGGAAGATTCTGACAAAAAATAAAAATTTGGTAGGTAATCTTTAATATGGGCTAATACCACTCTGACTGAGCACCCCCGGCAACTATGTCACCATTATTATTCGGAAGAGACAACCATTTTCTGACACCCAGATTTATAACTCCAATATTTACCTTGGCAAATCTCAGGTGAGATTTCATGTCATTAATTCCCCTTATCTTAACTTCTGTAGATAAATTAAATCTAAATCAACAGAAACAAAAGTAAAAGAAAAAAATTCTAACAACAACTATTATGGAGATAGTCCCTTGACATTGGCCGAAGGAGAATTCATATCTGTGACAGTTCGGATCTAATATAAAGATGCTGTCAACGGTGTGAGGCTTAATCAGTCTTTGACTGGATTTAAATCAAACTGTGTGCTCCCGTAGTCAGCTCATCACCGGTTCTCTTGAAATCGGATAACAAATCGTCGATAGAGGATAAATTATTAAAGGAAAAGGATCACCGCTCAGAATGTTCGCCAATCCATTGCAAAAACCCACTGCCAAAGGAAAGACATTCCAAGATCGGGAAGCGCCCCATCAATATGCTATATCCGATTATGGTTATGGCAAAGATTCTGTCAAAATCCTGCATGTTAAGAGGGACGGGCCAGTGCATTCGATAAAGGAATTCGAAGTGGGTACACATTTGAAGCTGTACAGTAAAAAGGATTATTTCCATGGTGAGTGAAAAGAAAAGATAGATTTGAATGTCCAAAAGAAGCGATTTTTTTAGGACTTCTATAGGCGTGGATTTTTAAAGAATATTTATTCTAGGACTTCTATAGGCGTGGATTTTTTTAAGTATATTTTTTAAGGGCCATCACAGGCGGGAATTTTTTAAATAATATTTTTTCTAGGGCTTCCATAGGCGTGGATTTTTTTAAAGAATATTTTTTCTAGGGCTTCCATAGGCGTGGATTTTTTAAAGAATATTTTTTCTAGGGCTTACATAGGCGTGGATTTTTTATAGAATATTTTTTCTAGGGCTTCCATAGGCGTGGATCTTTTAAAGAATATTTTTTCTAGGGCTTCCATAGGCGTGGATCTTTTAAACAATATTTTTTCTAGGGCTTCCATAGGCGTGGATCTTTTAAACAATATTTTTTCTAGGGCTTCCATAGGCGTGGATCTTTTAAACAATATTTTTCAAGGGCTTCCATAGGCGTGGATCTTTTAAACAATATTTTTCTAGGGCTTCTATAGGCGTGGATCCTTTAAACAATATTTTCTAGGGCTTCCATAGGATCCATGGATCCTTTAAACAATATTTTCTAGGGCTTCCATAGGATCCATGGATCCTTTAAACAATATTTTTTCTAGGGCTTCCATAGGATCCATGGATCCTTTAAACAATATTTTTTCTAGGGCTTCCATAGGATCCATGGATCCTTTAAACAATATTTTTTCTAGGGCTTCCATAGGATCCATGGATCCTTTAAACAATATTTTTTCTAGGGCTTCCATAGGATCCATGGATCCTTTAAACAATATTTTTTCTAGGGCTTCCGTGTTTTTTTTTGAAGAACTTCTAGAACTTCCATAGGTGTGGATTTTTAAAGAACTTGTGGAACTGCCATAGGTGTGGATTTTTTAATAAACTTCTAGAACTTCCATAGGTGTGGATTTTTTAAAGAATATTTTTAAACACTATCTTTTTAAGGCCTCCCTAAGGCGTGGATTTTTAAACAATATTCATAAGGTCTTTGTAAGGCGTGGATTTTTTACACAATATTTTTAAGGACTTTCTAAGGCGTGGATTTTTTTAAATAATAATTTTTCAAGGATTTTCTAAGGCGTGGATTTTTTACACAATATTTTTAAGGACTTTCTAAGGCGTGGATTTTTTTTCAATAATAATTTTTCAAGGACTTTCTAAGGCGTGGATTTTTTTAAATAATAGTTCTTCAAGGTCCATAAAAGGCGTAGATTTGTAAAATAATAGTTTTTCAAGGTCCATAAAAGGCATAGATTTGTAAAATAATAGTTTTTCAAGGCCCATAAAAGGTGTAGATTTGTAAAATAATAGTTTTTCAAGGTCCATAAAAGGCGTAGATTTGTAAAATGATAGTTTTTCAAGGTCCATAAGAAGGTAAAATAATAGTTTTTCAAGGTCCATAAGAAGGTAAAATAATAGTTTTTCAAGGTCCATAAGAAGGTAAAATAATAGTTTTTCAAGGTCCATAAGAAGGTAAAATAATAGTTTTTCAAGGTCCATAAGAAGGGTAGAATAGTTTTTCAAGGTCCATAAGAAGGGTAGAATAGTTTTTCAAGGTTCATATGAAGGGTAGAATAGTTTTTCAAGGTTCATATGAAGGGTAGAATAGTTTTTCAAGGTCCATAAGAAGGGTAGAATAGTTTTTCAAGGTCCATAAGAAGGGTAGAATAGTTTTTTAAGGTCCATAAGAAGGTACAATAGTTTTTCAAGGTCCATAAGAGGCGTGAATTTTTAAAAAAATATTTTTTATGTTCGGATTTTTTTTTATAGAAAAAATACCTCAGGAACTGAGGTCCCACATTTTTTCTATAAAAAAAAATAACTCCGATTTTTTTCTGTAAAAAAATACATCAGGAACTGGGGTCGATTTTTTATAGAAAAAATACATTCTTGTGGATTTTTGTTTTGGCTCTAGGTCAATTGAAAAACTCGTTGTTTATGTTTTTCTTTTTTTTTTTTTTTGTTTATTTTTATTTTCCAATATTTCGACTGTCTTCGGCAGTCATCTTCAGGGAAATACTACAAAACATACAAATATTTTAAAGATATAGACTTAATTGTATTGCACAGATCTTACTTTTATGAGAAAAGCAACCGATTTTCATCACCGTCTATGCTAAACTAAGTTTTTCTTTTTTCTCGTCTGTGCTTATGAACTATGTTTCTATAAATATGTGCACAGTGGTCCGTGTCAGTCTTATAATTCATTCTTCTATCGTTAGGTACATTAATTATGTTTAACATTTCTAATGTGAATCGTAATTCGTAACTGAGATGTGAGTCTTTTTTCTATAGAAAACATATTTGTTAAAACTGAGGTCCGATTTGTTTCTATATAAAAACATCTGAGCTACCTACCTAGGAAATATATTCTTCTGAAATCAAATTTTAATCTTAATTGTCTCTCTTCTATCCTTAGGTGACAATTCCGATATTGTAGCCACAGATTCGCAAAAGAATACCGTCTATTTGTTGGCCAAGAAACATGGTGTAGAGAATCCTGAAAATTTTGCCCTCCTATTGGCTCGTCATTTTATGCAAAAATATGCCCATGTCGAAGAGGTACACATCCATGTGGAAGAATATCCCTGGCAAAGGGTTAGTTCCGAAGAGACCGGTTGTGGTGATGCGGGTAATTGTAATTATACCAACATCAACAATAGGGCCCGACACAATCATGCCTTTATTTTTACCCCCACGGAGATACGCTACTGTGATGTGGTTTTGAGGAGGACTGGTAAGCCCGAACATCAAATAAAATTATCAAATATGGATTTTTAAAATTTTCGATTTAATTGTAGATCCCAAACAAACCGTCATTAGCGGTATACGCGGTCTACGTGTCCTCAAGACCACCCAATCCTCGTTCGTTAACTTTGTTAACGATGAATTCCGTTCGTTGCCCGATCAATATGATCGTATCTTCAGTACTGTCGTGGATTGTTCCTGGGAATATTCAAATACCGATAATGTTCTTTTCTGTAAATCATGGAATAAGGTCAAGAATATTATCATCAGGAATTTTGCTGGTGATCCAAATGTTGGTATATCCTCACCATCGGTCCAACACACCCTGTATCTGACAGAGAAAGAAGTTTTAGACACGCTGCCAGAAGTTTCCGTGATTTCGATGACAATGCCAAATAAACATTATTTCAATTTCGATACAAAACCCTTCCAGGCCGTTGTACCCGGTGAGAATAATGAAGTCTTTATTCCCGTCGACAAACCACATGGTACGATCTATGCTCAATTGGCACGTAAAGATATTACCAGCCGCCTCTGAGGAGGAAGAGTCGTGGGCATTGTATTATTTGCGAAAAATAGTTATGTGAAATATTTTAGTTTGAATTTTTTTTTTTGGTTTCTGATATGTATTTTGTAGATTTTTTCTTATCTTATGTTCTCAGTAATAGAAATAAAAAAAAACAAATTGTAATGAAATGTTTGAATTGTTGAAATTATGTTGAGATTGTTTTATTTGGCAATTAACACCTTATTTTAGTTGGAGGCCTTTTTTCAAATAGTTGAATGGATTCTTTATGAGCTTCTGTTCTTGTAACACTTGTCGTTCCGTTAGATGATTCAAATGAATGGAATTTTGAATAATAGTTCAGATCCATAAAGAAAGAACGACGCTTCGAAATGACTCTTCGAAAATAATATAAGATTCTACCGAGCTTGAGTTTCTATTTTTATACATATAAATATGTTTCAAAGTTCACGTACTTTCCATAAAAGAAGTATGTTAAGGACTAAATGTTCCATGGGAACACAAGCCTCATTTTTAGGAACAGTTTTTTTCAAAGAGAGGAGTTTTTAAAGAATATCTATCTATTATCTTTCTGAGCATTCGTATGCATTTGCTCATCCGGTTCATTTTGTTCCTTCCGATTGAGACAATATGTACTGAAGATCGGGAAGCGCCCCATCAATATGCTATATCCGATTATGGTTATGGCATAGATTCTGTCAAAATTCGATAAAGGAATTCGAAGTGGGTACACATTTGAAGCTGTTCCATGGTGAGGGAAAAGAAAAGATAGATTTGAATGTCCAAAAGAAGCGTGGATTTTTTAGGACTTCTATAGGCGTGGATTTTTAAAGAATATGTTTTCTATTACTTCTATAGGCGTGGATTTTTTAAGGGACATCACAGGCGTGAGTTTTTTAAAGAATATTTTTTCTAGGACTTCTATAGGCGTGGATTTTTTTAAGTATATTTTTAAGGGCCATCACAGCCGGGAATGTTTTAAAGCATATTTTTTCTAGGGCTTCCATAGGCGTGAATTCTTTAAAGAATATTTTTTCTAGGGCTTCCATAGGCGTGGATTTTTTAAAGAATATTTTTTCTAGGGCTTACATAGGCGTGAATTCTTTAAAGAATATTTTTTCTAGGGCTTCCATAGGCGTGGATTTTTTAAAGAATATTTTTTCTTAGGGCTTCCACAAGCGTGGATCTTTAAAAGAATAATTTTTCTAGGGCTTCTATAGGCGTGGATCTTTTAAACAATATTTTTTCTAGGGCTTCCAAAGGCGTATGTAAGTAACAGACAAAAGAAGCGACATATATCCATAGTTCCTTTTGAGATAGTTCCCTCCGATTGAGACAATATGTACTGAATGAAACACAGTTTGATATCTGCGAAGTTTTGTTGAAATCGGTCTAGATTTATATATAGCTCCCATATATAGTTTCGTCCGATGTTAGGTAAATAGTGCATCAAACTCCCAATATTTGTCAGCTTTAGACAAAATTTTGTACTGAGTCATGAATTCGGTCCAGTTTGACGTCTGTGGAGTTACGTTGAAATCGGTTCAGATTTAGATATAGTTCCCATATATAGTTCCGTCCGAATATATGTAAATGGTGCACCAAACTCCCGATATTTGTTCGTTTAAGAAAAAATTATGCACAGTGTACTGCGTTATTTCCAGTGGTGGCAGAATAGTACCCTTTGGTGTTACTTGTCCTTGATATTTATGTCCTGTTGCCTACTTCTATAGGCGTGGATTTTTTTAAGTATATTTTTTAAGGGCCATCACAGGCGGGAACTTTTTAAAAAGAATACTTTTTCTAGGACTTCCATAGGCGTGAATTTTTTAAAGAATATTTTTTTATGGCTTCCATAGGCGTGATTTTTTTAAAGAATATTTTTTCTAGGGCTTCCATAGGCGTGGATTTTTTAAAGAATATTTTTTCTAGGGCTTCCATAGGCGTGGATCTTTTAAACAATATTTTTTCTAGGGCTTCCATAGGCGTGAATTGTTTAAAGAATATTTTTTTAGGGCTTTCATAGGCGTGAATTTTTTAAAGAATATTTTTTTAGGGCTTTCATAGGCGTGAATTTTTTAAAGAATATTTTTTCTAGGGCTTCCATAGGCGTGGATATTTTAAACAATATTTTTTCTAGGGCTTCCATAGGCGTGGATCTTTTAAACAATATTTTTTCTAGGGCTTCCATAGGCGTGGATCTTTTAAACAATATTTTTTCTAGGGCTTCCATAGGCGTGGATCTTTTAAACAATATTTTTTCTAGGGCTTCCATAGGCGTGGATCTTTTAAACAATATTTTTTCTAGGGCTTCCATAGGCGTGGATCTTTTAAACAATATTTTTTCTAGGGCTTCCATAGGCGTGGATCTTTTAAACAATATTTTTTCTAGGGCTTCCATAGGCGTGGATCTTTTAAACAATATTTTTTCTAGGGCTTCCATAGGCGTGAATTTTTTAAAGAATATTTTTTTAGGGCTTTTATAGGCGTGAATTTTTTAAAGAATATTTTTTTAGGGCTTTCATAGGCGTGAATTTTTTAAAGAATATTTTTTCTAGGGCTTCCATAGGCGTGGATATTTTAAACAATATTTTTTCTAGGGCTTCCATAGGCGTGGATCTTTTAAACAATATTTTTTCTAGGGCTTCCATAGGCGTGGATCTTTTAAACAATATTTTTTCTAGGGCTTCCATAGGCGTGGATCTTTTAAACAATATTTTTTCTAGGGCTTCCATAGGCGTGGATCTTTTAAACAATATTTTTTCTAGGGCTTCCATAGACGTGGATCTTTTAAACAATATTTTTTCTAGGGCTTCCATAGGCGTGAATTTTTTAAAGAATATTTTTTTAGGGCTTTCATAGGCGTGAATTTTTTAAAGAATATTTTTTTAGGGCTTCCATAGGCGTGGATTTTTTAAAGAATATTTTTTCTAGGGCTTCCATAGGCGTGGATCTTTTAAACAATATTTTTTCTAGGGCTTCAATAGGCGTGGATATTTTAAACAATATTTTTTCTAGGGCTTCCATAGGCGTGGATCTTTTAAAGAATATTTTTTCTAGGGCTTCCATAGGCGTGGATCTTTTAAACAATATTTTTTATAGGGCTTCCATAGGCGTGGATCTTTTAAACAATATTTTTTCTAGGGCTTCCATAGGCGTGGATCTTTTAAACAATATTTTTTCTAGGGCTTCCATAGGCGTGGATCTTTTAAACAATATTTTTTCTAGGGCTTCCATAGGCGTGGATCTTTTAAACAATATTTTTTCTAGGGCTTCCATAGGCGTGGATCTTTTAAACAATATTTTTTCTATATCATCAGCTTGGTCTATTCGCCATTTACAGCCAGGCCCACTTTGGCAGACAGATTTTCAATTCGTTCAAAGGTGGCTGTTATCGCTTGCAATGTTCGACCCATTATGTCGATGTCATCGGCGAGTAACATATGCTATTTGGTGTACAGAGTTTCATTTCTGTTCACATTTGCATCTCGTATGACCTTTTCCAGCAGGATTTTAAACAGGTCACACGACAAACTGTCACCGTGTCTGAAATCTAGTTCGTTTTTGAAGGGCTCCGAAAGGTCCTTTCCGACTTTAACTGCTGACTTTGTGCCATTCAAAGTTATCCTGCATAGCCGTATTAATTTTTCAGAAATGCCGAACGCAGACATGGCTGTAAACCTCTCTGAACGGATAGAGCTGTCGAATGCGGCTTTATAGTTGACGAATAGGTGGAATGTGTCAATGTGTTTTTCGTGCCAGGCCAGAAGTCGCATTGGTATGGTCCAATAATGTCATTGACTATTGGCTTCAGTCGTTCACACATCTCGCTGGATAGCACTTTATATGCGATGGGAATGAGACTTATTCTCCTATAGTTGGCACACAAAAGAAAAAAAATGTGCAGGTACAATTAACGAGACGGGTTCAAATCCCGCATCGGTAAAGAACCTTATATATATAGTGGTGGCAGAATAGTACCCTTTGGTGTTACTTATCCTTTGCCTGGTCAACTCGAAAGACTTCTAAGGATTGGATAAGATTTTCAGTGCCGACTTTATTGAAGATATAGAAATCAATGCATAAAGCTAAAGTATACAAATTCTGGGCGAGGGTGCCTTCAGTAGGTGTACTACCTCCTTTTTATATACACATGCTGTTAATATTTTAGAGTATCGTTGGGTATTTTGCTACTTATCATGTCGACTGTCCGTTTCATGGCTTTGAGTAGAAATGAGGATAAGCGTAATGGCCGTAAGATTTTGGCGTCGTACAATGGTCGTGATTGGGTATAAAGACAACACGGACTTCCAAACCTTATATATGCGTTACAGAGCATTGGTAAGCTTGGTGATAAATATTCCGCTCTTTATACCCTTCAAGTCTAGAATAATGTCTAGAATAATGTTTGTCAAATTTCTTGAAAATTGGTTCAGATTTTGATATAGCTCCCACATATATTTTTGGCCGATTTTAGGTAAATGGAGCACCAAAGTCCCTAATTATCTTTCGATTTGCACGAAATTTGGCATAGGGTAATGAATTGAGTCTGGAATGATGTGTGGAAAGTTTCGTGAAAATCGTCTCAGATTTAGATATATCTCCCATATATATTTTCGTCCGATTTTAGGTAATTGGAGCACCAAAGTGCCCGATTATCTTTCGATTTGTACGAAATTTGGCATATGACAATGAATTTCACTTTGGAATGATGTGTGGTAAGTTCCGTGAAAATCGTTTCAGATTTATATATATCTCCCATTTATATTTTCATCCGATTTAAGGTAAATGGTGCACTGAAGTCCTTATATATCTTTCGGTTTGCACGAAATTTGGCACAACGTACTGAATAGAGTCTTGAATGAAAATCGGTTCAAATTTAGTTATAGCTGGTGCACCAAAGTACCTGTTTATATTTCGATTTGCACGAAATGAAATTTAGATAGGTTCGGAAGGGCGACGTCTTTTAGAATATATATGTAGAATTTAGATAGGTTCGGAAGGAAGAATATAGCCGGACCAGTCCGACTTTACTGCTTTCCTTCCTGGTCTTGTAATAAAGCAGGGAAGACGTTGTCTAGCCCTGTCGCTTTGAATGGGGAGAAGCTCTTCAAATCATCCCGTACCATTGACTCGTCAATCTTAGGGTTCTCGGATATTATCTCCCTAATTACTGTGTCATGGTCAGTTCCGAGTGTGCTTGGTGGGAAGTGTGCTTTCATGAGATACCCTATTGTTTCTATCTTATTACACTCACCATCTAGCATTGTTTCGGTTTGCATATGAGTTTTTAATAGATATACGTCGCTTACGCTGTCCACCTGTTATCACAGGACGTTCGAGGAGTTGCGTTTGACGGTTCTTGTCATTCCTCCTTATAATTATTCCAGGTTCGTAGTATTTAATAATTAAAAAAACATTATCGAAGTTATATTTAAACTATTTGTACCTAAATAATTGTTAGGGTCTAAGAGATGTATTTTGTATTTTTATCGATACAAAATTCTGCACGGGGATTTCCCGTAAGGTTTCCCATAAACATAGTTATTGTCCTTAGAAAAAATGGAAGCATCCACAGTCAAAAAAAAAAAAAAAACTAAAAACTATGTTGTTTTCTTTCCCAATGCCTTTTATCTGCTGTCATATTACTTCGACACGAAATAACCCCACATCGAGGTTTTTTTTGACAACTACAAAAAAAAAAAAAAAAAAATGAAAAAAAAACTTTCGCTTTTTTATCTTTGATGACAATTTGTATGCAATTGATAAACACATAAGTACATGTACATACAAGATACGAGCACATCTGCTTACACCCTCCTCCACCTGCCGAAGAAAATAAAACGTAGAAAAAAACAATTGAGATGTGTTATCTTTTGTCTGTTTTATTTGTTTATTTGCTTGTTGTTATTATTAAATAAACATTAAGTAATTTTTCTCAATTTTTTGACCGAATTTTATTCGTAACGAATTTAACGTTTTTTTTTGGGTTAGTTTATTACATTTGTTTATTTGAAAGAAAATAAAACAAAAAAAAAAAATAAAACCGGGACATGAGTGAATGCCCTTGGGTAGAAATTTTGGGAGTTTCACTTAAAAACCAAAATTGTAATTTTACTTCCTAGATGACTATGCATATAATTAATTAGGCGGTTTTCGATCTTTCAAATATTTTTCTTCGAGGTCTATATTTGCCGTAGTTTTTTAAATATTTTTCATCGAGGTCTATATTAGGCGTGGACTTTTTACATAATTTTTTGAGGTCTATACTAGGGGTGGGTTTTTAAAATAATTTTTTTCGAGGTCTATATTAGGCGTGGATTTTTTAAAAATATTTTTTTCTGAGCCAATATTAGGCGTGGATTTTTTTAAAAATATTTTTTCATGGTCCAATCTCAGACGTGGATTTTTTAAAATATTTTTTCATGGTCCTATCTCAGACGTGAATTTTTTTAAATATTTTTTCAAGGTCCTGCATTGGGCGTGGATTTTTTACAGCATAAAACTCCTTGTACATTAGAACTTTTTACCGGGGTTAACCTACTTTATGAGGATTTATTTGACATATATGCAAAGGAAATGACAATTGAAACCCACTGGGTTAACGAAATCCGGTTAAATGTAAACGTACTGTAATATACAGGCGTTGATTTTTTTAAAACAATTTTTTCATGAATAATAGACAGGCGTTGATGTTTTTAAAAATATCGAGGTTCAGTCTTATTTGGAAGCACCATAGACAGTCTTTTTTTTTTAATTTTCAAGTTCCAACAAATCCAAACCCAAAATTTATTTTGACAAAAAATCATAATATTTCCTTTATTCGTTCCCAAAAATAATAATCATATACATCGAAATTTTCCATCTAATACTTAAAACTTAACCCAAAAAGTTATTAAACCAATTTCGTTGCGGTGCATAGCACGTGGGTTTGGTCAACCACAAAACATCGACAGACAGCCGTAAAATATCACCCATATCAAACGTACACTTCTGACGAGTTTGGGCATATGGAGGATTATCGTTAGCCCTTAACTCGTCGGCTTCCCATCGTGAGACGGTTCCATCCGATTCACTCGATCGCGACATGGCAACTTTTAATAAAGGATCTGCAGTTAATTTTTCGGCAACTATTTTTTCCGCAACCTTATCATCCGTGTCACTGAAATAGTATTCCTTGCGGGTGGAATTGGTTTCAACAATTGAGACGGGTTTCTGATCACCGAAAGACCGTGCATAGCGTAGCTGATTAAAGCCACCAAATGGTTGATGGACTGGTTGCAATGGGCTTGGACTGGTCAACTGATAGCCAGGGAAGCCATTGGGGTCTGAAAGAAATTGTGGTGGGTGAGGTTGATATAAGGCATTGCCATTTTGTGGCGGTATAAATGTGTGGTCATAGAGTGGATTTTGTTGCAGGGATTGGCCTAGACCTTGAGGATTAAAAGCTTGGCCATAACTGGCACCGCCAACACCAGCTGTTTGTTGGAGATTTTGTGGGAAGCTTTGTGTTCCGAAGCCGTTGAATTGTTGTTGTTGCAATAATTGTTGCTGCTGATTGAATTGTTGTTGTTGCTGATTGAATTGTTGTTGTGGTTGATTGAACTGCTGTGGCTGCGTAAATTGTTGTTGTTGCTGCTGATTGAGACCACCAAATGTTTGCTGCGACAACCCTGGTGCCGAAGGATAATTGGTCTGCTGTTGGAAATTTTGTCCCAAGAAATTTGTATTGCCCACAGTTGCGGGTGCCGAAATGGGCAATGTCGGACTTAGTGTTGACGTTTCATATGGTGAACATTCTTCCTGGCTAATTTCCAATAGGAAACCACTCGAAGGCACACCCGAATAACCCATACGCATGCGTATCTTTTTCTCACCCTGATAATTCCAAAATCCGGTATAAACATAATCCGAACGACAGCCACAGAATCGTTGATTACCGATTTCAATGAAATCGTCAGGGCAGGAATTTCTTGACATGCCTGCCAAACCGGCAGCGCCACCCTGTAGTCCGCTAACAATTTGGGAAGTTTTACCAAAATCGAAAAATTTGAAAACGACACGAAGTCGACAGATGTTGGAGGAGTGTTTTTGCAAACGGAACTCACAATCCCGACGATTGACGGGCAAGAGGTTGCTAAATATGGTTCGTGGAAATCCAGGGCTGGAAAGGTAGAACCTCTTCTGTTGGAATGGTGTGGTACAACAGGCATCCAGGACACTACTGCTGCCATCTATGGCCCGCAAATAGCTTGTGGTGGGCCATGCCCCCACATATTGATCTTGGGTCACGGGGACATAGGGATTCACCACATAAGGAGGTAAATAGGGTTGTACTTGATGATGTTGTTGCTGCTGATGCTGCTGCTGTTGTTGTTGTTTCTTGGTCTGATGGTTATTTTCCTTGCAAGGCTTTTCGGAATTGGAATTTTGTTGGCTGGGTAAATAATTCCATTGCTGTACTGCCTGCGGTTGAGGTATCACAGTTCCGGTGGGCAAATAGAAGGGTCCATATGTGGTCGGGTACAAAGGTGATTGCAGCTGATTGGGATAATTTAAACCAAACAGGGGTTGCAATGGATAAACCTGATGCTGATCAGCCCCTGAAATGTTACGGAATAATTCCATTAACTGCACTCGAGGTGGACTTAAGTGTGTACCCGGTGCCGTAACGGTTATGGTATCATCATCATCTTCCGCATCATCAACATCATTGTTGCGCGTTTCGAGATTTCTCAACACCTCTTCCTTTTCACAGGCCAAGCGCGTTATCAACAGCTTGAAACCCTTACCCGTTGACCAGGGTGAATCATCGGCATGGAAACGTAAACGCAAAATACCATCAGGAGTGTGATATTTTTTAATGCCCACCACCTGACCACACAGAGTATCCATGTCTTCATCGACATTATCCAAACCCACCGAGAGATAATCATTTTCACAATTTTCCGATTTTTCCAAAAAGAAATCCAAAAATTGGATGTGAAATTTGGTGGGGCAACGATAGGGAGATTTTATGACATAATCCCAACAGGTTCCGGGAGGATAATCATCAGGATAATTGGGAGATTCCAATATGGTTTGTCGTGTCCTATGTACACCCGTCAAGGCACATTTGGGTAACTCATCATGGGTATGACCCCGCACCAATCCCATACACAGTAGCAAGGATATCAGTCCCTTTAATATAATTCTCATCTTCCAGCCGTTGCAATTTTTTCTTCTCTTCGTTCGAAATTTTTATTTTCCGCGTCCCGTCTTACGTTAACGAATTCCCAATTAAGACTGTTTTAAAATTCCAAACCAATTTCGGATCATTGACTAAGTAAAACTCAACTCGGCGATTCACATTGTCCACTAAGGTGTGAAATTGTTTGTCTATTTGTTTTCTTACCAAGTTTCCGCTGCGTCCGATCCAAGCCACCATCATCGCAGTCGTCTATGAAAACAATTTAAGTTTTTGTTTTGTCCAAAAAAACTATCGGACGACCGAACAACAACATAACAACAAACAAAATATATTGTTTACCACCTTCCCCTCCCCCTTCGCTTAGGGTCGGCTTAGCGGCCGGCCACAAAATGTGCAAGACGTCATTAATACCCCAGATGAAGAAGACGACGCATACGTCTCATTTCATAGTCCACCACCACCACATTTCATTGGTAATCGAAATATAGCCTCCAGTTAGAAGTAAAAACAAATTGTAGCATCGTTTCTGGTTTTCTTCTCTCTAGGGGAGGTGGGGTGGTGGTCGATAGGAAATCATCATTAATAAATTTTACTTAATTTTTAAATGTTTCATTTTTCTATATATTTCGAAATATGGAAATTTCTCCAAAATATGAATTACACCCAAACTTCAGATATAATTAACAAATACAGCAGCAAAATGGTCCGACGGAGATGTGCAAGATGTGTTCATTACTTTTTTTTGCTTGAAGAACTCTTTACTCACCATTTACAATTTTCAAAACTAACCGATATTGCATTTTGTCTACTCCGAAGATTTTTAGGCCTGCACTTTCTAATAATTTTTTCCAAATCCTGTCAGAGGCCTGGAAATAGAGATTTTTAAAAGAATATTTATACCCTTCACCACACTGTGGTACTGGGTATTATGTCTTTGTGCATATGTTTGTAACAGGCAAAAGGAAACGAGAATCACTTTTTAAGTCAATTTATACATGTCTGTCCATGTGCCCAAGGATGAACTCTATTGAAATTGGCAAAAATCGGTTCAGATTTAGATATAGCTCCCATTTATATTTTCGTCCGTTTTAATGTAAATGTTTCACCGAAGTCCCTATAAATCTTTCGATTTGCACGAAATTTGGCACAGGGTACTGAATGAAAATCGGTCCAGATTTAGATGTTGCTCTCATATATATTTTCGTCCGATTTTAAGTAAATGGTCTCTATGTATTCTTCGATTTGTACGAAATTTGGCATAACGTACTGAATTGAGTCTAGAATGATAATGGTGAGTTTCGGAAAAATCGGTTCAGATTTCGATATAGCCCCCATATATATTTTCGTCCGATTTTAGGTAAATGGTGCACCAAAGTCCCTATGTATTCTTCGATTTGCACGAAATTTGGCATAGCGTACTGAATTAAGTCTAGAACGATGTGTGCTAAGTTTCGTGAAAATCGGTTCAGATTTAGATATACCTCCCATATATATTTTCGTCTGATTTTATGTAAATGGTTCACCAAAGTCCTTAAATATTTTTCGATTTGCACCAAATTTGGCATAGCGTACTGAACTAAGTCTATAAAGATGTGTGTTAAGTTTCGTGAAAATCGGTTCGGATTTAGATATAGCTCCCATATATATTTTCGTCCGATTTTAGGTAAATAGTGCACCAAAGACCCTCTATATCCTTCGATTGGCACGAAATTTGTTATAGCGTACTAAATTGAGTCTCGAATGATGAGTGGTAAGTTTCAGGAAAATCGGTTTAGATTTAGATATAGCTCCCTTATATATTTTCTTCCGATTTTATGTAAATGGTGCACCAAAGTACCAATATATCCTTCGATTTGCATGAAATTTGGCATAGCGTAATGAATTAATTATAGAAAGATGAGTGGTAAGTTTTGTGAATCATGAATGATCCCATATATATTTTTGTCCGATTTTGTGTAAATGGTGCACCAAAGTCCCTATATAACTTTCGATTTGCACCAAATTTGGCATAGCGTACTGAATTAAGTCTGGAAAGATGTGTGGTAAGTTTCGGGAAAATTGGTTCAGATTTCGATATATATTGTTGTCCTATTGTATGTAAATAGTGCACCAAAGTTCCTATATATCATTCGATTTGCACCAAATTTGACATAGCGTTCTGAATTGAGTCTAGAATGACTTGTGTTAAGTTTCGGAAAAATTGGTTCAGATTTCTGCTCAAATGATGTTAAATTTAGCAAAGGTTGCAGAAAGACATGAGTATGTTCCATCCAGATAACATTGACATGCAATTGTAAGGATACATATGTACAATATACCCAAAGTGGTGAAGGGTATCATATAGTTGGGCCAGTCCGACTTTCTTGCTTTTCTTACTGGTTTTTTAAGTACCATAGAAAAGCGACCTTTTTTAAAATATGTTCAAGTACCAATTTTTTAATATATTTTTCAATGTCTAGTCTTAGACGTGGGAGTTTTCAATATCCCACTAGGAGCGTCTTCCCGGGTTGCGGGTTGCAAAATCTAACCCTAAGTCAGGATGAACTGGACACCAAGGAGATTCCGGCCAAGTCAACTCAGGAAAATTGATGTGGCTCTAACCTAGTCGCCCGACCGAAGCTAAATCTGGCTCCGACTGGTCCTGTGTCGGCACATGCCGACAATAAGCTTCAGGAGTCGACTCAAAGGTCGGAGCTGCTCAAGAAGAATCTGATGCGAAGCACTATAAACACACTATAGGGCAATCTGCGAACTTGCTTTCGAGAGGAAGGTTAACCTCAGGGATAATCTAAAATTTGTAAGAAAATTCGAAATAACCTATCAGCACGTTTTTCATCTAAAGCTCCAGGTAGGGAAGATTTTCCTCCCAAAATAAGTAGTTGCTTCGCCAAAAACCTCTACGTTTTTTCCGGAAACGAGTAGAGTCGACGTATCGCACTGCATATGGCAAATGTGTGAAGCCGAAATCTGATCCGAAGCCTAACCCGAGACAAAAATTACTGGAAAAGGCCGTTAAGTGCACCCCGAAACCAACTGACATCCATAAGGGTGATCACCGTGTGAAGGACTCTGTCTCTTGTACCTATGGGCATGGATGTATCTTGAACGAGGCTGGTATCACATTAAAACAACGGGGAAAACTATGCGACTATATATTACCAGTTCTGAGATTTGATGATGTAGATGTCGTTATCCCCAGTAGAGACGACAGGAGCCGTAGTAACCTTCCTTTGCACGGTATGTTTTTTTTTACAGACAGATCCAAGATAGAAGAAGGTACAGGGGCTGACGTCTACTGAGAAAGGCTAGGCCAAAAAGGCTTATATAAAAGTTGTATAGCAACTGTAGTGGTTTCCAAGCTGAAATCATCGCGATTCGGAAGGCAGCAGAATTGATAAAAAGTATTGTTGAACCGGTGACTATCTTTGTGGATAGTCAATCGACTCTTAAAACCATCAAATCCTGTAATATCAAGTCTGAGATCGTCCTATTGTGTAGAGCAGCTTTGGAAACTCAAACTAATAGCTATCGGCTGGGCGTGGATTTTTTAAAAAGAAGTTATGGATTGGACTTGTCGGTCCACTCAATCGATTAAATTTGTATGCCATCTTCCAACATTGCAAGCATGGTGTAGTTCAAGTCACATATTATAAAATTAATTTTGAGACGAATCTTGACCATTTTGTGGGGACATCTTCATCAGAAAGACAGATATTGGTAAATCGACTCCAAATTGTCAGAAACGGCTTTTGGTCCAAATAAACATGAGGTCTAAAATCAATATTTCTTGGAGGCACATTTTTGCCGTAGCAAAATGGAAATACCCTCATTGATCATAAGGTATAACAATAAGGGCTTCTGTAGAAAAGATAGTATATAGTAGCTCCTATACCGGAACCCAGAACAAATTGAGGTATATTATATAGGTCACAGGGACTGGGAATATGATATACGACTTAATAGTAGGACTGCTAATAGAAGTCTGAATATTTTGTCTTCCATTTGGAAGGTCTGCTTTTGACAGAAGACTCTATATGCAAAAATACTTACGTTATTGGTCCACGGTGAACTATGTTAGCAGATCTTAAATTATATCCAAAATAAATACCATAAAAATATTGTCACACTAAAAACATTTATTTGAGAATCATTTTCGTTTTTTCTTCTACTACAAAAAAATCTCAGAGAGTATAAAATATATTAGTTCGGTTTTTTGTCACATAAAATCTGGCAAGCTTCGTTGGGTTATTAGCGAGCGAGTATAACAAAAGCTGGACACACAAAAAAGCTCTTTCTCATTTAGAAGTATCCTGCAAAGAAAATATTGGAAAAATAGATTTTTGGTCGCTCATCTAATAAAAGTGGAGTGATGGGAAGGAGAAACAGGTGTAATGATTAGTAGCCAAACGGTGCTTCTACAGGATCATAGGTTAAGGAATTATGTACAAAATTTAGAATTTGGAAAATCTGCTTCTACAGGATCGGATATGTGTGCTATTATATACATAGAAAATGCGGAATTTCAAGCTTAAAAATTAGTTAATTAGAAAAGCGATTAGTAAAGTTATCATAGAGGTCAGAGACCAGTTATTGAGATACGATCCACCACCACTACTGACCAAATCTCGATGCATCGATTTTGCCATTATGGCTGAGGTTCGAGAATTGACATAATAATCACCTGGTAATTTGAGTAGATCTGGATTTGCACCGGGTGTAAAGGGAGCCAATGGCACGGAACCTTCGGGTATTGTGAAGGGTGTTGTTTGCAGAGGGGCCAACGCAACACCTTGAGCCATGGGTTGAATAATGGCTTCTGTGGTGGCTACATCACTTGTGCTGGAGGGTGCAACAGTTGTGGTTGTTGTTGTGGGAGTGGCTTCTGTGGAGACAGCAGCAGGAGTAGATGCTGCGGAATCAGTAGCCGGTACTGGCTCAGGTGCAGGAGCGTTATAGCAAGCAATTTTCTCTACTTCAATGGTTTTGCTGCTGTCATTTGGATCAGGTT